CAGCATACACAGACCAATTACACACCTTTTCAGTTTATTTTCCAAGCCATCTTCACATCCTCTCCACAGGTTTGATGCCCAGAATGTCAAACCCTTTGGCCATCACCACAGCAGTGGCCTCACACAGCAACAGGCGCCACATGTTGACCTTCACAACCACACCTGCAACACAAGACCAGCAGCATGTTCAGCTCTAGACACTGCACTGACTTCAGAAGAAGCACCTGGCTACTAACCAAAGGCCACCAAACATGAAGCACTACACCTGAACCTTCACCCCAAAAAGTTCATTTCAGAACCTGCTCTTAGCACCACAGCACTAAAACCCCATTATCCTATCTTGGCAACTCCAAGAGGTACCCACCACTCTGTCTATCCTTCTCCACACAGTAGCAGTTGTCATAGAACTCAGTGAACGTGGTGGCCAGCTCATACAGGTAGTCACACAGGGTATGCAGCAACAAGTCATCCAGGATCTTCTGCAAAACCTCAGGGAAGCGCAGGATGCACTTGCCCAGTTTCCACTCCTTCTCATGCTCAAGGACAACCACCTCCTCCCGAGCTGCCTTCTGAAGCTGCTGCTCATCCACAGTAGCCAAACGCGCAATGGATCTGCCAAAAAAAAAACCTCTTCAGCCACTTCATCAAACCACAATACAGAGCCACTACTCACCAAAGAGGCAGGATAACTTATTTCTGAGGCAGCCCACCTGATGCGCGTGAAGGCATACAGCAAGTATGCAGCTGTGTTGCCTCGGTCATCCAGCATCTTGTCAAAGGAGAACACGTAATCATTGAGTCTGTTGTGGGAGAGATCTGCATATTTGATACACCCAAAAGCCACAGCAGTCTGGGCAGCCCGCAGTTCCTCCTCGCTCAGGACCTGTTTCACCAAACAGGGATTAGTCAACATGGAAATCACAGTGCAGAAATAAAGCCCACAAGGTGAGGATTGTTTGCAAAACACTCATAAGCATCCTGGGCAAGTACACCCCGTAGTACTCTGCTCCTTACAGCCAGGCTGCCTACACTGTCATCTCCAGTGCATGTCGCACACACAACAGCACTACATGTCAATACTCATCTTTCATGSTAAGCATCCACATACCTTGTCCCGTTCCTTGTCTTTGAGCTTCTCCATGGCACGATTGAGCCCCTCATCCAGCAGATCCATGAGCCGCACTGTATCCCCAGAGCGGGTCCTGAACTTCTTCCTGAAAAAAAAAAAAAACCCAGCCCCATGGAATGCCCCTTGGAAAAAAACCAACCTCTCTTTGCTCATAAACTGCTGGACAGACTGGCTAGATTGTAAAAGCTGTCCCACCTGGGTGGGCAAGGGCTGTACATACCCCATAGCTATGTGCAACAAGCACCCCTTCTGTCTGYACTAACCTCCCTTCAGAGGACAGAGACAAACTAGGCCCGACACTTACTTGTCCTCTCCCAGCACGACGCCGAACGCGGCGTGGGCCACTCTGGTCACTTTGGGATCATACCAGCCAATCATCCGGCCCGCTGCAAACACTGTCTGGAGGTGCACTGACTGGAAGGAATAAACACCATCACTGCTCCAGCTCTTCTCTCCAGACTAACTGCTTCTTGCCTCCATCCCCTGATCTTAGGGGACAGCAGCCGCTCACCTGGCCACTGTCCACCACGTAGATGAGGATATCCGCCTTCTCCTCGAAGAGCCGGTGCCGCAGGGCGGCCAGGTCCGACGTGTCATACGTGTAGCCACCATCTGACTTCATAATGGTCAATGGGACCGAGCAGCCCGGGACGAACACGATCTTCCGCCCGTCRTCCACCTGGACGAATCCTAGAAAAGCAGCGTGGCAAGGTCCCTGTCACACACGGCGGGGCAGAGCTAGGACAGCAGAAACAAACCTCCTAGGTGCTGCCAAAAAGGCCAAGCAAATACTTTGCTTCTCTACTTACAAAACAATATGACTAACCACCTCACATGACCCTAGGTGCAAACCTGGAAACCCCTCCCCCAACCTTACTGAAATAGCCCTCATTAAATTGAAAACATCCTATCTGCGACATTCCRACCCACCTTCACAACCCCAAAAACAGTATTACTGAGTTGGACATAAACTGCAYGAGAAACTTCCCCCCAAAACACCAGACTAGCTAGGGAGCCCTGGACAGGCAGCAGGGCGTCGGTCTGACCCGCCGTGGCTTCCCATCAGCCTCAAAGTCACCAACGCTTCTTGGGTGCAGGCGGTCGCGCACYCGGGCAGGAGACGCCCCAGGCTCGCCACGCTGCTTGCGGCACAAACGGAGCCCTGCCTGGGCTGCGCTGCGCCTCGACTAGTTACTCCTGAGAACCCCAGCAGCGCCTCCTAAAATTATCACCTGCAAAAATGAGAGGTCTCTGGAATGAGCTGCACAAAAGATCCACTGGGGAGACATGCCTAGGAAAACCAGCAACCCTGAGGGACACGCACCAGTCCCGGCCTCGACGCTGAACAGCATCACGCTCAGCCACACGCGTGCGCAACCTCGGATGTCTAACGCCTCACCTTTCTCTTCAAATTCCTGCACGATGTCTTTCATCATGTCCTGGTAAAACGATTCCCCTCTCTCGACGAGGGTAATGTCCAAGCACTTGTAGATCTTCTGAAACTCTTGAGGAGAAAAGAACACAATCGTTCCATTAAATGCATGCACAGCAATGAGTGACATTTCTTTCACMAAAGGCACAGTGAGTCCTTGATTCTATAAAAAAAAGAAAATCCTGAGTGGGAGTAYGATTCAGGAGACAAAAACAGGCTCGCTGCAGCGGGTGCATCACCTTCTCCTTTTAACCTTCCCAGAGGAGGGCAGCAGGGACTGCTTTAACAGCTCAGACACCTAGAGCTGAGACAGCTGCATCCACACACACAAGCTCACCTTTCCGAGACACATCGCAGATSAGGTTCCAGGCTTTAAGGAAGTCCGGGTTTTTGCTCTGCAGCATCACCACGCACTGGTAGGCCCGCTTCTTAAAGTCCTCCTCGGTGTCAAATCGCCTCTTGGATTCCTAGGAGGAAAACTGCTAAGTGGAAAAATGCTCCCATGCAGTCCCGAAACACAAATCTTCCTGATGCGTCCTGCCACAAAAACCTCGGGACACCCTACCGCACTGCTTCCCTGTCGTGAGGTCCGCACCATGGTCCCCTAACCATGATTCCCTTCTCTTCTTCCTCCAAAACCACACCACAAATTATCTGAGTCTTTCAGTTCAACAGTCACACACCAAGATAAATAAAACGCTTATTGGCTTAAAATACCTTGTAGAAAGCTTGGAGATCCCCGATGGGAGGAGAGACCGTCAAGTAGTCTGGAAATTTGTCTTGGAGGTGAGCGATGAGCATTCCAAACTGGGTGCCCCAGTCTCCCAAATGGTTTAACCTGGGAAAAATTCCAAGTGAAAATCATGTTCTCATATATATATAAGTCTTATACTATATAAGCAGCTATGTTGACTTGCATCTTTACATCTGTTTAAAAAAGCCATAATTTGTGGAACCAAACCCAGGCAAAGGACCCCCCCCCCCCCCCAATCTTGACACCAACAGGCAGCCACTGTTCGCAATTACCCCCCTTGCTGTGCCCGTGCCACTCGCTTCCCCAGGCCTAGCACTGAGCAGCTTCTGTGCTCCGTCTAGGAGACACACCCAGAGCGAGCAACGAGGCAGACGGCGACTGCGGACACAGAGCTGGTCAGGCCCTGCTGACCCTCACCTCAACACATCGTGACCTACGAACTCGAACAGGCGGCACATACTCTCCCCAATGATGGTGGAGCGCAGGTGCCCAACATGCATCTCCTTGGCAATGTTCGGGGACGAGAAATCCACTATCACCTAGACACAGCRACAAAGGCACAAATCAATAAAAGACTCGTCCTAAAGCCTGTGGGTTCCGTGCGCATTTGTCTGGGTGCTGGAGAGTACCCCCCCTTCCCCAGCAGCCACCCTGCAGGGCCCGGCGCTGCAGGTCCCGCATCTGCCCCAGCGTGACTAGGGGGCCTTGGGAGCCACCAGCCTCTCTGGGACACCGGACTGAGCTGGCCACCCCATACGTGGGTAGGGACTGAGTGACAGGTGAGCCCTCCCCACCCCAGCACACACATATAAGGGCCCCCTGGTCTCTCCCCTCACCTTTCTCCTCCTGCCCACCGCAGGGGGCTGCACGCCATTCACCAGCAAACTGCTCAGCTGCCTCGACACAAAGTCTTTCCTCAGGTGGACRTTGATGAAACCTTCAGAAAAGAAAGCCAGCAGTGAGCCCGGGGCTGTGCGCGTGCATCGCACCACGTGGTTTCCTTGCCCCTGTTGCTGGCTTTCTGTTCCCCTGGATCTCTCTGTTTCCTTGCATCAGGCGTAGGGAGCTGGCTTGACACAGTAAGAGCTTACTCAGGGAGAGAACTATAAAGCTGTTAGTAAAACACAGTTTCTACCRGCATACTCTGAGAGCCTGTGCTATACAACTAGAGCCTGTTCCACAAGAGTCCGAGTGTGCACACCTCGTCACTGCAGAATCAACTAGGGAATACATTTCTTGAGAGAAACTAAAGTATATTAGCAAGGTTTGCTAAATACAGCCCTGGATAGGTACAAGGACAAGGTCCTTATTTTGGTTTTTCCATGACCTGTGATCATCTTCTCAAAATACAGAGCTTGTCCTGGCAAAACTGCAGCTCGTGAAACACCCCCCCGACAGATCGCCCACTGCTGGGGTACTCGGGAAGGAGGCGGCGGCACCGCCGAGGGGCCGAGCCCACGTGCAGCCCTAGGGAGCCCCGAGGCAGCCCAGGGCTGCAGCACTTGCCAGTTCTGGCACACTAAGCGAGGGGGACGGGGGASTGCGGCGTGGCCCCGAGGCCGCCACCTCCTCCGGAGCCAGCTCCGTGCCCCAGCACCCCTGGGTCACGCTGCACCCCCGGTCGGACGCCCCTCGGCTCCCCCACCTCCGCGGAGCCCCTACGAGGGGCCGAACGTGCGACTCTCATACCGGGACCGGCGATTTCAACCTTCTCAATGCATTCGTTGCTGGGAATATTTTGCACAATTTTCTCAGCGATTTCTCGGGGGCTGATCTTCTGTTCCATCCTCTTGAGCAGTATCTGAAACAGAGCGAGAGGGCTCAGCACCATCCGAGCCTGCAAAAGCTTCCACTGACAMAAAAAAGCAGAAAGAAGAGACCCTACTGTCCTCCCCCACAGGTTGCAGGTGATCTATTAGCTCTTTCTATGGGTACACCTAACTACACTAAGACGTTCACTCCCTCATCACAAGGGCAACTAATTGCCGTCCCAAATACAAAAACCTTATCGGGTTATTTTTGCAAGACACATCGAGTGCTTTGGCAAATSGGGAGAGGGACAAACCCACCTAACTCATTGCAGCTGCCACAGTCCTGAGCATGGCTGCAAAATCCCACTCGCCAGCCCACGGRCCGCCTCGCTACGGCTGAGCTTCCCTTGCGCTTATTTTAAACTGTGCCTACAGTAGACGCCGAGCGCGCCCGCAGGACCAGCTTGCTAATTCCTGGTGTGAAGTAAAGCAGGGAAAACTTGGGTCCTACCTTCAGCTCTAACTTCAAGAAACCATTGGCATCAGCAGCCCAGGCTACCTGTGGTGACCTGACTGCAGCCCCATTTGCTATAAAACGCCTGGGGACCTCTGCCTGCCCGCGAGGTTGCTGGGCTCATCCTTCCRGGCACACGTGACCTCCCAGGAGACCCTCTGGCGCTACAAGGCCAGCCCGCGCTCCCGGGGCTCCACATTTTATCCCTCTGTTCCAGGTGGAACTATCAGGTCCACAACTCCGTGAGCTCCTTGTCAAGCACTTTGTGCACACTGCGGGAACTCCGTGACCTAGGTGTTTCTCGACACAYTTCTTATGGGACTTCTTACAAAAACAACCTGTTTGAAAACCATCACCTCGCTCTCAGGAGCGCCGCACGGTCAGACCACAATTTACACCCACAGGTTCCAGTTTTGTGCTACGCTGCACCTGCTCCACACGCACTCACAAGGGGATCCGGACAGGCCAGGGCGGAAGGGAGCACCGTCTGTGTTGCTCAAAGCCCCAGGAACAAGAGATGTGGGCACAACTCCGGGGCAACATCATCTAAGTGACACCTAGAGCAGGCACCGCACTGCTACCTCTACAAGGGGCAAGCCCCACTGCTGGCTTGGCCCCAGGCACTAACACACTAACGAGCTGGCACTAACACACTAACAAGACAAGGGGCCGTGCGAGCGATGCCGCTGGCGCAGGGAGCGGGGACGGTGCCGCGGGGCACGTAGCGGCGCCGCGGGCGTCAGGTCGCTCGCGGCTGCCCACGGTTCCCACTGGAGCCTGGCTGGGCACGGGCCATCCCGACACCCCTGCAGCTCCGAGGAGGGAGAGAGCCGCTGCTCCCCGGAGCACGCGCAGTCCTGGGCTGCCCTGCACTCGGACGCTGCAAGCACACAACGTACACGGAGATGCCCTGGGAACAAACCCGCAGCCCAGGAACCTCTGGCCGAGACCACCGGGGACCACCCGGAACAAGAAACCTGCCTCTACGTCCCCGAGGGGCAAGGGACTGCGTGTCCAGCCACAGCGTGCCCACACGGAGCAATCTGGACCRCTCAGGAATCCCAAGAGCAACTTAATTGGGGTAAAGCGGCGGTCAGGAACCCGGCACGCCGGGTGCCAGCGCCCGGGCTGCTCCTCGCGTGGGGCCCAGCCGCGCTATCGTCACAAAGAGCCTCTTCATTCACTCCGAGTTATTAGGATCTGGCTCGTTCAGCTTGTTTCGCATCTAGACTAGAATTTGCTGCCTCCTCCCTTAGAATTTGCTGCCTCCTCCCTCTCATACTCTCATTAGAGCCCAAAGTTCAGCTGCTGCCTACAGTGCTTTTAGAACTGAGGCTGCGCTGACAATTGTGGACGCGGCCCTAAGACCAAGACCAACGACACGCTCGCTGTGCAAACGTGAGCGACTGCACACGCTAGACGACCAGCTACGGCTGCCAAAATGGGCTAGACCACTTTGTGCAGCCCCTTGCTTCGGACCCAGCCTCTCCAGCAGGTTCACCTTGGGGCCAARGGGTCTGTTCCCAGGGCCTCCCACCCTCATCTCTATCTCCACCATCTGCCGTCCCAATGGGTGCCACCCGCGGTTGGGCGCTGCTCTCGGCCCTGGGCCTTTCCGGGGCCACGTACTGACATTAAAACCTTAGTGTAATTTCCACTAAGTAATAACACAAGTAATTCACCAAGTGCCACGTAAATCCACCTCGCACCGACCGCCCTCGGCTCCCTTCTCGCATGACTTTCCGTGGGCCCAGAGAGAGGAGCTCCCCTGTGCCCTCACAGCAAGGTATTCAGAAATAGAGGGGACCCAGGACTCCTGCTGTCTCCAGGACGTTTACCCCGAGTAGTCAATCATCTCATCCTATAAATACATGGACAGCCCAAGAGCCCCTTGAGCTCTCCTGAACATTTACCCCAAGTAGCTCTCCGGTTTTGGACGTTAGAAGCTGATCTCTCTGTAGGGCAGAAATCCACCTTCAGCCTATGCAGGGAATGCCTTTCATCTGTTCGCCTGGCCCACTCTTACTCCCTTTATACCCAGGGGGCTTCTGGAGAAGACCGGGATATCCCCGGGAAGATCAACACGGCTTCGAAAGGCGGCCGCTCGCACCAAAAACCCTCGGTGGGGTCCAAAACCGAGACCGGAGCGGTGCGTCACGAGGGGCCCTGTGGGTCTCCCCGTCGGCCAGGGCTCACGCCGCGCTCCGGGACTGACACGCTCCTATCCCCTTCTGCCACCAAAGCCTCGTTCGTGGCCACAAGTACTCAGAGGACACACTAATGCCAGCGTTTTTCCTGCTACTTCAACTAAGGCACATTTCTACCAGACAAAGGATGGCCCAGTTCTAGTAATAATTGTATGACATTTGACATGACTGTTCAAACCTTTCAAGTTAAACAGAAGGACCAGGGAGAGAGACATAGCTTTAAAAAGACTTCTCAAAAACACAAGGCAGGAACTCAAAACATCGAGCTACTCGCACGTTCCTACCATGTCTCATAGCAAACAGCTGCTTGGTATCCCACAGGAAAATAAAGGTGTTGCTAGACTTTTGCTTGGAGGAAAGCCAACACAAATGCCTGCTAAACACAGAGGTGGAGGGGTCCACATGGATTCCCCTGGGCTCCTCATCACAGCGGTCGGTGCAACCAGAAAGCGAGGCCGGATGCCTAGGGACATGTGCACAGGTTCCTCCAAAGCTCTGTGCCTGCTCTGTGAGGAGGGCACTTCCAAAACCCCATGGATGCCGCCCCTCCGGTGCCCGGGGCCCTGAAGGGGCCCGYGCTGCGCCAGCTCCGGGATGCCATGCCCCACAGAGCTCCCGAAAAGCAACAGCAGCCCCGGCTTGTGTGGCCCGCGCGCGCCGCGTCCCGCTCACCTGGGCGATGCCCATGGCGCTGTTACACTGGTAATCCCCGAATTTGGGCTGCTGGCTGGTCGTCACCACGAGCGGGGGGTTTTCCAGGTCCGGGTAGGCAGCCTGAATGGCAGCTCCGAAGAGCTCTTGAAGACAGCTGTTGATGTTGATCATGCTGCTTTTCACTGCTTTACTTCTCTCCTCTTGAAGGCTCTGAGGAAATAAGAATATTCAGAAGACTCAAAACTCTGCATTTCAGAAGCACCAACCTCCCGCCTCTTCCCACAGCTGACAGACAATATGAAAACACACGACAATATGAAAATCAGGTGGTTCAGGCACTGTCTCTGCCTTCGACCCTGCAACGCAAGCCCAGCGTGCCGCCGCACCGCTCTCCGGGACACCACAGTGCTGGGGCTCTTGTTAAGGGACCGAGAGTCTTCACGAGGCAACCTGCTGTTGTCCAACCTCACAACTACGACAGCGGAACGCAGAGGGCACGTGCCGTCACACGGCACAAGCTGTAACCCCACGGCATCATTCACGTGGTCTGCAGGTACACGACGGCACAGGCTACGGCAGGAGCCCTTCAGCTCCTTACCTTTCGGAGAAAATTGAGCCGATATTTCAGCTTGGCGTTCTCGTCTCGTAATCCTTCCAGGCTCGGAGAGACTCCCAAGCACCCAAAGTTCTTCAGGCGCTCAATTTCAGCAGTTAAGCACTTGATTTCGTTTTCCTGGAGAAAAAAAGAAAAGAGAATGTATCAGATTGATTGGAACAATTCTGACCAAGAAGGGATAGAGGGTGAGGAAGTGAGAACTGCTGCACAGGTCTAGTTTTGCCCCACGTGACTACATTTAGGGTGAATAATCTGAAATGCCTTGAAGGCTCATTCCAGATGAGCCAGTTTTGTTACGTCCCGTGTTTTCTACCAGGGGTGAAACCACTGGCGCTGACACCATCCTGGCAAGGCCGGACGCTGGCTAGAGATGGAGGTGCCAGGACGGGCCGCGTGTCGCCTCCGAGGACGGTGCGGCGCYGCCTGGGCGGCCCGCGCTGCCTTCCCCGCCGTCGCACTGCCCGTCCTTACCTGCGGTGCCACTTCTCCCCCTGTGCCAACACAGGGCACGCAGGGGAAAGGGGGAATCTGGCGTGGACTTGTACTTTCCAAGTACATTGCTCCAAATACATTGCTGCTCCTCATGTTTGCGTGCTCCCCTATAGCTGAGGGATTTCTACTCAGCACAGCTCACGCAGAGTCCTGTCATCCCCCAAAGCCTGGCATTCAAGCAAATACGTTTCCACRAGCAGGTTGAGACTGACAGTTAGACGCTGCCGTGTGGAGCGGCGGCTTTTCTCATCCAGTTCCCCAACCAAGTTTTCTTAGCCATTACCCTGCCGTCTCTTTTCCTCCCCCACAAAAGGCGTTGTGTCTCTCAGCCACACTCCTTCAGATCAGATCAACAGAAGTCTGAAATCTACAGAGAACCCAAGCGACCTCGGGCCTCTGGGGAGCGTCGCCCCTCGCGCACCTCGTYCAGACCCGCAGCCGGCACCACGCCAGCAGCAGGAGGCAGCTCAGCCACGTGAACGCATCAGGGAGACAAAAAAAAGCCTCCAGAGCTTACCAGAGAAGACTCATTTACTTTACTGCTCCTGAAATGTTCAGAGCGTTTTACTACGGAAGAAACTAGGGCCCTCATACTGTCTGGCCTCGTAATTCCACCTGAACAAATACTCCTATTGATGCCGGAACAGTGCAGCATGACCTGCTCTCCAGCAAAGCCAACACCTTCTAGACAGACGAGCTCCTCAGCTGCCCRGGAGACCTTAGACTCAATTACAAACTTCAAGGGCCCCAGATATTCGCATCCTGCCTTTCGAGCCAGGGTCATTATCTGCAACAGACMCGAGCTCGTCGCTCCTGTTCCTCCTGCTGGAAAGGATTCCTCCTCGAGCTACGGCTACACAGATATTTCAGGTGACGCTTCTATCGGGACAGAAATTCATTCCTGACAGTCCTAGATATTCACGCACATCCCTGGTCACGCAAGTTAAGACCCGCAGGAGACAACACACCCAGTGTCTTACGGGAGCTCCTCTCCACGCTGGTGTCCCACACTGTGCGGGAGGACACGGATGAGGCCTCTCCACACAGGTGGCCGGAACCCAGACCTCAGGCTCCTGGGAATCCCTGACCCGGTGATATTGCCCACACCAGAACAAGGGGACCACTCATCTCCTAAGCACTCGGCTCGGGCCCCCCCTTAACAAAGGGTGCCCACTGGCTCCGCACAGCAACCTGGGTGGCAACACCAACACTGCCGCTGCTGCTCAGGTCTCCCTTCTTGCCTCCCTCAGCTGCCAACACAGACCACGAGCTTAACTTGTCATTTAAAACCRCTGAGCGGTCTCAGCTCATCTTAACCCCAGCAGCCGTTACGGTGCCTTCCAGACTCCATGGGGTTAAAATCACAGCATTTRGGCAGCGATGGCACAGGTGAGTGGAGAGGAAACTCTAGCATGAGACCTCCCTGCCCATATTCATGGGCAGGACCACCCTGGAAAACAGCCATACAGACACTCACATGTTAGAAACATCCTCTGTCACACAAGCTACTAGATTTAGTCTCTAGCAAATCACTTAAAAATGATGTGTGTTATTAAAAGAACACAAAGATCCTGCCCTCTTTCTGGCAAGCGAGCATTAGATCACTTTCTCTAAGTAGCATCCACATGAGGGAGACAGACAAGGTCATTACATCTCTGATCTACAAAACGTGACCAAGAAAAAGGAAGAACAAAGCTGCTAATTTCATAGCTCTTCAGGGAATAAAACCTCACCCCCTAGATGACCCTACGGGCCTGGACTGCTCAAAATTTGCTGATAAAGGGTCATACCTGATGACCATCTCAGGAGATGCCACGGGGACTACACGGATCCAGGCTGACACCTCCCAGAGCTCTTTGGTCTGCTGCATACTAGAAACCTTCCCCTCACCTGCAAACACAAAAGAAACAATAGCTGCTACGAGACCAAAATCCTCCTCACCGTTTCTGTTACTGCACAAGGTTTCCTGAACCCCCCACCACATTCACGGGGAACTTAGATTAACTGGTATCTCTAAGGAAAATTCTCATCCATCACATTAGGAAAACCAGAACAAGTGAAAATGGCCCAAGAAAGTCCAGCAAAGAATCACAGACGAGAGACCATCTAGTCCAACACTCCTGCACTCGCAGGGTCACCTAGAGCGCAGGCTGTGTCCAGGAAGGTTTGGGAGATCTCCAGAGAAGGAGCCTCCACAGCCTCCCTGGGCAGCCTGTTCCTGGTCTCTGCCACTCTCTCACAATTTTTTTCCTTAAATTCCTGCAGAACTTTTGGGGTGCTTCATTTTGCACCCATTTCCTATAGGCCCGTCACTGACCACCACTAAGAAGGGGCCAATTACCTCTTGAGGTATCTACAGATACTTACGAGACGCCCCCTCGGCCTTCTCTTCTCCAGSCTGCGCAGGCCCAGCTCTCTCGGCCTCTCCTCACAGGGCAGATGTCCCTGGCCCCCACGCTGGACTCTCTCCAGCCCCTCCAAGGGCCCTGTTGTGCGCAGGGCCACGGGCCGCCCGCTCTCYTCCCCGCTCCAGCCCATCGGTGGGTGCCGGTGGCACACGAGGCCCCAGTGGGGCTGCGCAGGACACACAACACGAGGGGCAGGAGGGCGCTGGGAGCTGCAGTCCGCRGGAGAGGGGCCTCCAACACCGACCTCAGCAAGGGCCACCGACCAGCTCTCACATGCGGCGGCCACCCYGGGCGGCTGCAGGGCCGAGCAGCAGCCAGAGCTTCAGCAGGCAGCGCCAGGCTGCGCTTACCGCCCGCTGCCACTGCGACACGATTGCTTTTTCCTTTTTTTTCCCTTCTGTCTATACATACACGTATATGCGCGCGCGCACACACACACACACACACACACACACAGTGAGGCGCGTTTGCGGCTCCCTTCCCAGGAAGGCCTTCAGCAAGAGGCCTCCCGCCGTCCGCGGGCAGAGGGGGCTCCGCCCGGGCAGGGGGCCCTGTTCCCCGCGCCCCGGGGCCGCCCCGCTCCGGTCCGCGCCGGTTCGGGCCGGTCCGCGCCGGTTCGGGCCTCACCTGCCGCGCCAGCCGCGCCACCGCCTGCGCCACGCGCGCCTCCATCCCGCCGCGCCGCCCGCGCCGGAAGCGGAAGCGGAGCCTGCGGCGGCAGCAGCGCCCCCGCGCGGCGCGGCGGCCCCGGGGCGCTCCCCCCCACCCCCGGACACGCGGAACGCGGCCCGTGTCCCCGAGCCCTGCGGCCCCGTTATCCCAGCACCCAGAAACCCACGCAGCAGGCGGATGTTTCCAGAAAGGTCACTTTATTGGGGACAAGAAATAACCCGCGCCGCCCTCCCGGCCGCAGCGGCACCGCCGTCCCCCCACGCGCGTCCCGCGGCGGCTCCCCCCGCACGTGCCTTATTGCAGGAAACGCCTCTACAAGGCCGAGCCGTACAAAAGGTCTAAGCAGCATTACTGAGGAATAACAGCACCTGACGCTGTGTTTGTTCTTATTTAAAAGTCTATTATTTCCCAAAAATACCTTCCTAAATATACAAACTATACAATCTCGTCACTTGAATGCTGGTTTCTGTGGTGATATAACTTTTAAGCTAAAAATCTTTAAAACATCCACATACTGACAAAAGCTCTAATGTACAAACGCCTCRGTACCTTCATCATACCACATAAATAACTGCAAGAAACAAACCGCATCTGTGGAATGGTCCCAAGAAACAAATACTTGACGGTGATCACACATCGTCCGCGGAGAGCGTCGCCACGTTCATCCTCGGCCGCGTGAAAAACAGCATTTTCTCTCTAAAAAGAGAACGCAGTGACCTAGTGCAGTGCAGTCCATGTCAGAAATGTCTACCCTCTATTTTAGAATTTGGTCTGCCAATTATTGTCACAATAAGGGCAGCAAACGCTGTCAGCCTAGGCCACCTATAAAGATGCATCAGACACGAAGCATCTTTACAGCTAAGCTCACAATGAGAACAGCAAATGCTGGTTCCCATACTAAAGAARAGATCTGCTCAAGTTCATTGCCCGGTGGGGAATGATTGGGGTACTACTTTATTACTCATAAATTACTTGCAGTATTGGGGGTCATTTCCCAGGCCCGGAGATCTTAGACATAAAGACAAAGACATCTCACTTTGAGCGRCACAGTTGACTGCTACACGTATTAGCTTTCCTGATCAGCAGCTTGGTCATCCCGAGAAACATCACGGCAGGAGTCAAGGCATCCTGCGCTCCCCGGCTGCTCCTACCTGAAGGACTGCACTTCCAAAGGCTCCTTGCGGCTCTGTCCTCGGAGCCTGTGCACGTCCTTGGCAGCCGCTCGCATCATCTTATCGGCTTTCAGATCGCACCCGTGTTCCGTTTTTTCAGCCTAAACGAGCGATGGAGAGAAACACAGGTGTTCCCATGAGGAATCCCTTCATCCCAGCAAACTCCTACATTCAGCAAGGTAGTTTTGCAAAGAGCTGACTGCAATCACCAGCCACAGAATCTTAAACCGGGTCATTTCAGCTCAGGTGGCTGTGGCAATGGAATATGGTTGCCACAAAAGCCTTTTCTCTGTCCATTTTCTCAGGAAGTTCCCTCTTAAACAAGCTCACCCAACAAGCATGCAAGAACACAGCAAACCCCCTTCGAGCTACGCTCCAAACATGGTGTATTTCATTGCTACAACTCATTACCACACCACCTTAGGCCAGCACAGAAGAGAAGCTGTAGGAGCTGTGTTCCCAACATCCACAATTACAGGGAGGCAGGAACTGACTTTGCAGTGGGGAAACACCGCAGTTCTTGGCACCTCTGAGAAGAGCCAGACGCTCAAAAGGTGCAACTTCCATGAGCAACAGCTCATGGAGCCCTAGGACCAGGGAGATGAAGGACTACAGCRCTAAGGTTTCATTTCCTGATTGTCCAAAGTCACGTTTTTCAGATCACATTTCTCAAACGTGTTGAATAAAGTCCCAGGCCACCTATTACTTACTCGTTTCTCCACTAATCTCAGCAGCGGCCGAAATCTCTCGTCGTCCTTCACCCACTGTGGCAATTCCTTCTCGCCTCGGCTCTGAGCTTGTTCCAGCTGCTCCTTGAGTTCCTTAAGCACAGAGATCTCTTGCACTAGCCGGTCGTGCCGAGTTTTCGACGCCTGCAGGTCCAGCTCCAGGTCTAGGGAAGTGCGGATGAGACGCTCTGTACTGAAAGACTTAATCGAAGGCTACAGAAAAAAAAGAGGGGCGTGTTACTAATGCTAAGAACCATCTGCACCTTCCCTCTCAAAGGTTGAGTACATCATATAACCCTTCTCTCCAGGGCTTCTCTCTCTAGTGCAAAGCATCTCTTTATCCTGCTTCTCAATGCAAATCAGGACATAGAAGGCAAATTAGTTGTGTTCCGGGCCCAGAAAACTAACCCCTTATTCTTTCTAAGAATACACAAGGTAACATGCCTTTTTATATATATAAATATATATATATATTTTTTAATTCCTAACATCTTAACGACCTCTGTTACAATACCAAACACAAGCTACTTGGAGAAAACAACAATCTCACGAAGAGATGGATTCTGAGCATCGGTATCATAGCCTAATATTCACGACTCCCCAGCTCCCTGCCCTTTTCCCCAACTGACACTTATTACTAAACTATTATTTTACAACAACAAACATTGCCAGACCCTTTGGATTACTTCTGCTTTGACAATGCTGAAGGTAGTGAGCCCTCTCCTCTGTTTCTTATTTTCCTAAGTGTCTTCTAGAAACTTGACACTCCTGTCATCCTTTGACACAGAAAAGAAATGCTGCCTTGAGAGGCTTCTCACACAAAGAAAAAGGTTATACACAAAAAAAAAGGGGACTGGTTTGTTCGCTAACGCTAACCTCTTTGAAAAAGTTATTTTTTGTAGACTTGTACATGTTATTTGTAAGAAAGAAGAGAAAAAAGATGTTTTTACCCGTTTCATTCTGACGCTTCGTCTCTCCATGGCATTGCGAACGAAGGGGGGCTTTTTGGAGAGGGTCGAGCTGTCGCTATCGCTGCGATTCAGCTGAAAGAGAAAACCACGCTATTTTAGTGAAACAAATTCACTTAGCACTAAGCTCCTCGGGTGGCCTCGGCAGGCGGGAACAGCCAAGGACTCGACCCGTTGCGTTTGGTGGAAGACTTGGTGCCACCCCAGCGGGCAAGGAGCAACATGCGGTCTGTCCGACACGCTGCGGCCCTGCCGCAAACCTGGGGCTCCCTCTAACCCTGTCAGAAGATACGAGAGGCAGGGGAGAAGACCCCAAGTCGGGGTACGGGCCTGTGGCCACCACTCTYCTCATGGGCAAGTAACACAGCCTGGCAAAACAGCACAATAAGCTGAAGGAAGAGACAGTAAYACAGTCTAAGCCAGTATCTGCAAAACACCCAACTATTTCATTAGAAAGGACTTTTTCTCTTGAGCAAACTGTATTTTAAGCATGCTTTCATCTAAGCTGCTCTGTTTGACACCTCCCGAGCTGTCGTGTTAAGCACACGCACCGCCTGCCTTCTGCCCTCGTTTCCTGATTTTCCAAAAGCTGCAGCTCCRGCAGCGCTCCCACGTTCCCCTCTTGGCACAGCGGTGGCGGGGCCATAGCGGCCACAAGGATTCCCCCGCACCGGGACGGGGCAACTTGGTTCACGGACAGGGGAACTTAGATCACAGCCACAGAAACCAGTCCTCGAGCAGCAGGAGATGYGCAGGTTGCTCATCCCTGTCTTAGAGCAGTCTAATCATCATCACTAAGCGAGACTGCTCACAGAAGCCYGAGGGCTCCTTGCTGTTATTTCCCCTCACTGCAATCTGACAGGCAGCAAATCATARGGGCTGCCCAGAGGTGGCCTAAGTATCACTCCCTTTTATCTCTGTCAGAGAGGCCATTAAGAGTCAATGAGAACCATTTGCAAGCCATCTACTACCAAAAAGAAAAACAAAATCATAATAAAACAAAAAAAAGTCTCAGGTTGAGCACACAAACTATACACAGAAGTGGAAGAGACAATGAGTTGCTATAGCTCCTAACAAGAGATGAGCACGTATAGAGTGGTGTGGTTAGAGTCACACCCAGACTCAGCCCGGAGTTTTCATTTCAGGAATGGTCTGCTGCACCATTCTGCTAAGATGTCCACAGACCAGAACCCACAAGTACACGGACAAGCACAAGCTGCACAGGGACCGTGTGAGGAGACGGCAGCTCTGCCAGGCAGGGGAAGGAGCTGAGCTGCGTTAACCCTAACGTGACCGAGAAGCAGAGAGGGTTTTGCACATGGGAAGAGCCAGGCGGTGTGGCGGGTGAAACCCTCACGTTACCAAGGCCAGTCCCTTTTGAGAGAGCTTTAGTTATCAACTAACRAGAGTTATCAGCAAGGAATTCACAGATGAAGTGCAGGTGGGTACAGTGTATTCCTTAAGCAGAACCAGCATTTATAAACCCAGGATGGTATGTTCCTTACCCGACACACATACTGACTTTGGGGTCCCGGAGAAAACGTTTTGGAGCGGATGATGGCGCTGCCTCTGACAAAGGGCGTCTGCGGGGGATTTGCTGCTCTTTTGTCTTTCGGACGAACTACAGTAGAAGACTGCGCGGGGCTGTCGGTATTGGTCTCCTTATCCACCTGCAAGACACACGCAAGGAACGGCCAGCTCGCCCAAAGCTCCGTCTCGCTCGAGCGCAACGGCGCTCGGTGGGCTGCATCCCCTTCAGAGCCCACGTCCGATGCGTGGGCGTGAGCCGGTCACATTAACAACACCCTGTGCTCGCAAAGGGGAGCAGGTAACGGCCCAGACAAGTATCAAAATGACTATTTGCTTCAGTCAATCCGTTAGGCCTTTCTTCAAGAGCTAAGTCTGCACACTCAGGCTGTAGGCCCTTGAACTTCTCCGGGCAGACATTCAGCTTTGCAATACGCTTTGAGCCTCGGTCACGGACAGAATACAAATCAAACAGGTACGAGTGTTTCTTTAGTGCACTGGCCCTTCCTGTTTGAACGGCCCTTGACGTTACCTTCACCGACATCTCCGGGTCCGGTTGGGAATCCAGACTTTCTTCCGTTTCCCACAGTGATTTCTCAGCACAAAATTCTTCCTCCTCCTCTGCCTCATTTTCACTGGTCTCGTCCTGCTCAGGAACCTCTTCATCTTGCCTGCAACCACAAGTGCTTATGTTACTGAACAGACAAATTTAGTACAATACTCTGGTGCTGCAGCAGGTTCCTTAGTAGAACTTACTGAGCTATGGCAGTCTCCTGCACCTGACAGGTACTACAGCCGCTCAGAGGACGAGACTAGTTTTAAAAGGGAATGAGCAATCTGGAGTGCAACTGCACCAGAGGGCTTCCCCTACAGCTAAAGGCTTTATTATTGCATTCCTTTTAAACATCAAGTGAGACAGCTCAGCGTTCAGACATATGGTCTGAATTTAAGGTGATACCCATCTGATTTTCAGGACACACTTCATCTCTCGGTTTAAAAAGCAAAATGAGACTTAAACATCCTTCTACATCCTTTCCACCACCTCAGGGGCCACCACTGGCTTCACCCAGACCTGTGGTCAGGCTTTCTTTTTCATTTCAAGGATTACATTGCACTAATAAAACACAACCGAAAGCTCAAGTAAATGACAACCAAGGTTATTATTCCGACCAAGCCCTGCACTCCGTCGCAAGGCTTTTGCGGAGGTCCACGGAACACTRTACATGTTTCAAAAATCGGCATATTTCTACTCCATATTTCTCATGTTTTTCATCTTTGTTCTCATTTTTCAAGCAAGCTCCAGAACAGCAGACAGAAGCTTCAAGAGCTGTTTCATTTGCTTTTTTCTTCACTGTACATCAAACATGAGACCCGAATCCCAAGGCTCTCCGATAACCCCGTTACGCTGAACGAGCCGCCCGGTACCTACCAGCTTTCCCCGCTAGTTAAAGTGCTTCTGCTCTCCTCCAGCTTCTTCTCCACAGCCTCCAGTTGGACAGCCGTGCGCTCCAAGAGCGCCGACACGGAGTCCTGCGGCAGAGAGGCTTCGTTACCGCCGCTCCGCACCCACCCCAGCCGCCGCGCGCCCGRCCTGCCTCTCACCACGGCCCCAGCACAGTCACTACCTCTACACCCACATTATTCTGGCAGTCTATTGCACGCTGAAGAGCGGAGCCTGTTCGCTCTGCCTGATGACACAGCAGTGCACATGGGCAGGAAAGGCAGAGGGATGAGTGTGGGCACRAGGCACACGCAGAGCTACCCATCTCTCCACCTGGTTTTAAGTGCGGCGCAGCCAGGTCTAGCGAGCAGGAGGGGAAATCTCTACCATTACTTACACCAGACCACGTATTACACCGCTCAGGTTCCCAAGTAGCAGATTTCAGTAAGTATTTAGTCAGTAGAGCGGGATAACTGTGATCAGTATCTTAATTATTTCGCTGTGCTTATTGAAAACGTAGTGCTAAAAGCAAACTCACCAGCCTTTAACCAGCCCCAAGGCTTTTAGCCATCCATATAGCACTAAAGAGAGAGTTCATAAGAAATCCATATTTAAACAGTTATTCTTACTGTTTTTCCAGTGCAGGATACTTCAGAATGAATGTTTCCTTGTTTATTTTTCCTGTTTTGCTTCTGCAGGTATTTGTAACTAAGAAGGTTGTACCAACGGGTCGATTTCTCTCCGGACCTACATATTTCGGCCAGGCTAATCTGCGTGCCGCCCTGTTGGAAGCCAAAACAGAAATAAAAACTAGTTTCTGCAACTTTCATGCAATGTTAAAATGAACTGACATCAGCTTTTCCATAGCATAACTGTCATTTAGGTCCCGATACAACACACCCCACTTGCCTGATGTAGCTTTGTGCTCCACAAAAGGTCTAGTGAAATCAACCTGCCCAGGTAATACTAGACAGCAAAACAATTCCTCACAGGAAATACAGGCCTATGGACACTGTAACATTCTAAAACTACACATATCTTAATAGTGAAGCTCAACAGCAGATGTTTAAAGAAATCCTCTAATGAGATTTTTTTTTCCCCCCATATTCTAGAGCTGGCTTGAAAAGCCCTGTGAGAACCCATTCCACCTCAATTACCACGTCACCCAACCTAAAAAAAACAGCCAGGCTTTCACATTAAATCATGGGAGAAGATCAATCTAGTAGTCCAACAGTTATTGGTAGTTCTCTAACATTGATCTAAGGAGTTTTCTTCACAATAACCATAATTCTGAGAGATTTTGTTCCTGCTCTGCCACCCAGGAGACATCACAGAGCAAAGGACAATAAAGAAAACTCTCAAACACCTTGCCACTCTTCAGAGTTTAAGATTCTGTACAAACATACCTCAGAAGATATCAAAATAGTGAGAAACACTGACCAGACATTCTTCAAGGTGAGATTTATCTACAGTGCAAACATCAACTCTTAAAGTCTTCTGGCGTAAGGCAGGGTAGGAAATCGGAACCCAGAAGGCTTCGTTGTACACGAGGTGGTCGGAAGCCTCCACCGGTTTGGTGCGGAACAAGCAGCTCGTGCTTTCCGAACAGGGAAGAACAGCCACGCGAATGTTCCTGTTGGAAAACAAGTCATTGGTGCTACTGTATGAATTGACACTGTACCTCTATCGCAAAAGGACCTCAGACCTATTAGTGAGCAACTCATTCTAAGCACCGTGAATGTTACTCTCCTATCCTTCTCTCTCTCAAATCCGTTATCTGAAACAAATTGGTAACATCTGCAGAACTCGTGGGCTGATAATGGACCCTGTACAGGCAGAAATGACGAGGCAAATAAAGAATCACATATGCCTGCACTCAGTACAATAGGATTCAGAAAAGTTTAGCTGGAAATGGAGTTAGTACAATCTCTAAGTTTGCCCATTGAAGCACGGAAGGGTTGAGAYAGGAAGAAACTCAAATTCAGCAGCAAAACTGCACTCTGGCCCTTCAGCCAGGTCACCGGCGAGGAGGTTGAACRAGCCTGGACCCAGCAGCGAGCCCCAGGGTAGAGCGCTAGCTCCAGGCTTCCAGCTGGTACCGAGCAAACCCCTTGAAGCTCTGCCTGATGGCCAGTTCTCAGTTCACCTCGGAGACCCCTCGTGGCTCCCACGTGTCCGGAGCTCTCCTGGACCGTGTCACACGAGACCTGCCCAGCAACTCTGAGGGGAGCAAGGTTTGTGAGCCCGAGGCTCAGCTGGTGGGCGCGTGGCTCGACAAAGGATACTGTGCGTGACAAAATGYACAAAGACTTCAGAAGGGCTAGATATTTAAACTTGAGAAAAACAGAAGCCAAGTAACTGATCAGTCCCAACTAGAATCTAATTCCAGTGTTTTTATTTCACCTACTTACACTTTCTGATCTTGTGGTAGCATCAGGGCCGGAGCATTACTCAGCTGAATGATGAGTATGACAAATTGTTTATTTTTGTCATCAAACCTGAAGTCATTGAAAAGATGAACAAATTAGTACTGGGCCATTCTGCCCTATGTAGCACRTAAAAGCATCCCACTTGTTCCACTAACCTAAAAGCTCATCATTAAGTATTTATGAACAAGACCATCAACCCCAGGAGCTCAAATTGTTCCCTTATGACCTTATCAATTACAGTTTCATATTACTTGAAGTTTTACTCTCAAGTCTTCTGCTCAATCTACTGTCCTGTGTCTTGCACGCTACTGGCAGAGGTCGGACATGCTCAACCACCACGACTGCCTTTTACTGTCATGCATCTTGCCCCTAGGCTGCACATGAAAGCAGACCAGAGTCCACAAAATGCTTTCTCCAGGCCKGCAGAGTCACTCCTCCCGTGCCTGGTTTGCAATGTGATACCCCACTGCCATCACCCGTGCATTTCCACCCAGCTGTAAGAGGATAATCGGACCAAATGAAGCCCGGAGACACATATCAATTACACTACAAAGAGTGCAATTATTACTAGGGTAAGAAAGCATATCAAGAAGTGCTATCTTAAACCACGTAGACCCATGCAGGAGGARGAAAACACAATTCAGAAAATGTAGTGCTTACCTCATTGCAATTTGTACTTTAGCAGTCCCAACCGCTTCAGTATCGTCGCTGTCAAACACCGTTTCTGACACACAGGGTCTGTAAGAAATCCAAAGCAGTTAAGGATTTGGTCCCCGTATTACTGAACTGGTCCCATTTATGCCATGAGATCTCTCCCGCCCTGCTAGCATTCGGGAAGGGGCCTAAGGATTTTGCAGAAGAACAAATTTGGAGAAAAAAATCAATGGAGAGCGACATGCACTAAGCATCCCCAGAGGTAACATATTGCAGTATCAGCCAAGTCATAGACCTTCTCCTCCCCCTACTGATTAAAAAGCCACACAGGAGGTTCTGCAAAGAAAAAAGGCAGGTTCTTCCCCCCCACCAATGAGCCCTTGGACTGCACTGCAGGTAAGGACAGTTGATTTACAAGCAATRGAAATTAAGACCTAAATCTAATTAAACTTGCAGATTTTAAGTCATTCATTTAAGACATCCAACTGCCCTAAGCAAATTAAAGGTACCAGAGAAAACTAACAGGCATTCTTTAAATGGGCTAGCAGAGGAATTTTTCCTCCCACTGTTTTCTCTGGAGTTCTATGCACCATAAATCCCCCAGAGCACGTTCCTCCTTTTATCCACTCAAACACACAATATACTACAGCACATTAAACAGGACAGTGTCGCACTGTCCTGCGACTGGGAGGGATCCGTGATCCAAGAAATTCCACATTTAATATGATCACAACCTTGACACTGGGATGAACGTGTATCCCATGTTTCACATTACTAAGGATGCTTCTGCAATTTGTTACAATTCATTACACGGTACCTATCCTCAGCACCTGTCATAGGCCAAAGTTGCTTAATCTACAACCCAAATATTAAGCAACATGGGCAAAAAAACCAAAAAACCCAACCACTTTCAAGCGTACAATGGGATGCCAACAAAACCTGGATGCAAAGACACATGCCACACAGTTCTCTGGGCTGACATGGTTAAGGCTGTGCTGATTAAGATAAGAGCTTCTTCAGAAACAGATGGGCTCTTCCACGCTTTCCTCCACAAGGAGGAAAGCAACAGCCTTATTTTCATCTATTTTTACACCGAGAAACGTGGCACATTCCTTACAATCAGACTCAGCTTGCTTACGGTTTCTTCTTCAAAAGGCAAGTCTGAGCAAAGTCATGACAATGGAGAAGAGCAGCATCCTATGTAGGATGCTCCAGTTGGTTCCCGTGTACAGAGCTTTGTCCTGGAGATGGTCCCAGTGCCTACCTTTGCACGGATGCCTCATACACCCCGCTGTCCCCAGCGACAGACTCATCGGATACCGCAGCAGACACGCACGCCACCCTCGGGGCTGGCCCTCCGGCTGGGTTTATGCCTAGGAAAAAACACACAGGAATAAAACACACCACGTGGTTAGGACAAAATGCCTGGTGCAGGTACAATTTTTTCTCGTGTCCTCTTGAGCTGCACCTTTTTCATGGCACCCAAGTATTACTATCCAACAGTATGCTTCTGAACRCAGAGAGGACAGGAGTGTGACGAACTCCACTTTTTAGCCTGACCTACCTTAGCACTTGAGAAATGCAGGACTGCCTCAGASAGCAAAATCTTTAGACAACTGGAGGGACTGCCCCCCAGTGCCAGCACTTGGGGACCCCTGCTCCGAGCAGCCCCTAAGCAGAAATGTGGCCATGCCTGTCTCTCCCCARGGGTTTCCATGTTTTAGAAGAGGTCCCTCTTTCCTGTAGTCTTAGGAAAGTGCTCCTGTCAGTCAACATATGGTTTGCATTCTACACCACCTCTCTTCCTAAGACGACTTGAACACAGTCATATAAAGCTACCTCAAGACCGAGGAAGCGGTTTGCAAGACATTGGTGCAGCCGGCCCGACGTAGGACAGCACAGTTGACCATGTGGGTGCTACAGGTAACACCGATACTAAGAGCTCTCCAATGAACACCCAGCTCAAGCATGAGCTTTATGGGTCAAGTTATTTATTTCTTGTCTTTGATAGTACTACTGAACAATATTTTTCTTTTAGTATTCCCATGGAACTGGGGGCGAGAAAGAAATATTCCAGATACTCCAGACCTCTTCTCCTGTAGCTCCAACTACATTAGTAAGAGCTATCACCCATAACACAACAGATGAACCATAAAGTGAAATGAATGGATACATTTAACACTGACATTCCCAGGCCTCATCTTTCTTCCCCTCCCGCATTCCCTTGGAAGCACAGGGCTATTCTGCAGCTATGCGAGCAGGGTCACAAGCAATCTCTCTTTCTTCAGCACTGCTCTGCACTTATTCCATGGCTTTTAGTGCAAAAATTATTTCTTCTCTGCCATYTGCCTTTCTAGACTGAGATGGGGGAAGTTTATGCAGTGCTCCCAGAAATGCCAACCCAGGAATCTTTTCCTATTAAGTTGCCCTATTAGGAAGAACAGCACCACCACCGAGCAGTCTCCACACACTTCAGCTCTTTCTCTCCWTGTGTTTCCAAGGCTATTTAAGCACTTGGACCCAGAAAGTTTTCCTTTTTCATCGCTTCACCCGAGTACCTTGTGGCCAAGAGGAATGAAGGGATCCTTTCAGTGCCCCTGCACGCGCTATTGTTCCCTTGGACRGGGATTCATCTCCGCTACAGAGGTTTGTTCCGTCCTTTTCCAGTCTCTTTTTTTTTTTGTCAGTAGCTTTGCAATTAAGGAAGTTTGATTCTAATACTGCCTGGGTTGTTCCYGCTGTTTCCTACTGGTATCTTTTGAGTGGCAGCATCACGAGGTGGTTYGAGCGCGGTGCCGCGTTCCCACCACGACTCGCACGGGGCCTGGGCCAGCTCCCCACGGCTCCCCTGTGGCCTTGGTTTTGTGCTGCCAAAAGGCTCAGCCAGAGCTCCAATAAAGATTAAAAAGGGACAAAATTCCAAGGAGAAGCAGGGGGGTTGCCCCACATAGGGAAAAAACAAAGCCATGAAAACAAAAAAACACAAGACAGCACCTCCCAAATTCCTTGGAGGCAAGACTGTGGTTCTGTCTAGGCCATATAGGTGACACGCCAGGTAGCACTGCAGACATGTACGAGACCACACCGAGTCTTGTACRAGTCTCAGCAACCCTTCAACAGGCTCAACAACAGGGTCACATAAGACACTCAAAATCACCCTGAATAAAGAAGTCGGGAAGCAACACATGTGTTGGGGGGGGGGGGGTCTCAGAAGCCGACAGTCTCACTGCTCTACGCTCAAGCCTAACACAGAACTCCAACACTCRCCACCAGACTCTTCCTGCTCCCTGAACTGTTTCCTTCTTTCCTGTCAAGGATTTTAGTTCTTTACGTCCTGCCTATTTGTCCTGCTCTGGCTGATGGACGCACGCATAGAGATGAGCCCTGCAGAAGATGCCCTGTGGCTCACCGGCCTTATCACACCTTGTCCTCAGAGGATGCCAGCTATTAGCACTTTTTTTTTTTTGCACAACTATTTAAGTACACAAACTATTTCTGTAATGTGGCCCATAATGGTTCAAAGAACAGCTTGATTTTGTTTCCTAAAATTCATGCCTGGCACATCTAGATCCATTTCAACCGATTCCTGGCTCCGATTTTGTACGCGACCGCCACAGAYGCCTGGAGGGTTCGGGCAGCATGGAAACCACTTACATGTAAATGGCCACAACCGTCCTAACACGATGCGTTTGAAATGCTACAGGAGACATTTATCACCACATGCAAACAGCACACACTCCCACCACCAATAGAGCAACTCCCAAAGGAGCGGGAATATTTTATAACTGAAAGAAAAAAAAAATCTCATGTATACACACTGTTGAGCTCTACTTATAGGAGCACGTGAGCACGTTTTTCCCGTGAGGCGAAGCATTACCTGCATAAAGGACAGGGCCCCCTCAGTTTGGGTGCTACACCGAGCTGTGCACACAATGCCCAAAGAGTAAACATCCCATCTCATTATTGCCCTGAAATAAACTGCCTATGGTGATTATTTTGTCTGCTGACAGCAAGGATCACTTCATCTGCTTAGCACCTTAGCTTTCACTCACACAGCCCTGACAAATCTTCAAGAGCCAGAAAGGTTAAAACTAATCAGCACTCAGTTCTAATAAGAATAATTATGGTTTCCTCCTCACATCCTTAAGTATCTTGTGCTGCTAGCAAAGGGTCATGCCAAAGGAAAAGTCTGCAGCCATGTCTACTATGGAATTTTAAGTGGTATCAGTCTTCCCAATGAGGACTGTTACAGGAATAAAAAGCATTCACGACACAACACTAGCTCCCTTGATTCACACAGGTCCTTTTTCACCCGTTGGAAATCAACTCAACCGTTGAGTTGGTTTCCAACTCAACTGCTACAGTGGCGAGCTCACCTTTAAAGCTCTGCAGCCCAGGACTTTCTTTACTGCAGTTRCACATAGAAGGACCATGATCAGCTATAACCTAACTCTACTTGAGCAGGTCTTCACGCAAGTCCTGCCTCTGGCATGACTGCACCATGTTCTACTGCTTTTAACCTACTCCCCTGGGACTTGCGCTCTAAAGGACATAAACATTATGCACAAGTAAGCTATATGTACATATCAGGACATCTACCATCTCCGAACATCCTATCTCATCTCACTTACAATCTAAAGACAGGATTGTTGCTAAGAGACCATCCCCCTCTAAACGGCAGAAATCCAAACCACGGCCTCGACACGTCTGCTCGGCTCACGTTAATCAGTTCATTACTGCTTGCTTACTGGGAACCAGAGCAAGATTTCTTGTACGCCGAGGGGCAGGGAGGAATTGCTATTATTCTTCTCAACTGCCAAGCTGAACGGCCTTTCCTCAGTCTTCCTCAGAGAGTTAGTCAGGAAGTTCTCCTCTGTATGACATTACGCACCACCCAATTCGTGACCAAGTCCCTCATCGCATTCGAAGGGGTCAAATGCCAAATTAAAATCCGGTGACCCATCACGGCCACCCTTATTAAGTTCTCCTTCCTGCGCACACATATAGAGGTGCATCAAAACACACCTGGACACAGTGTTCAGCATTTCGTAGGCATCTACTAAAACACCAATTTCCTCTCCCACAGAGCATAGAACATACAGTTTTTAAACATAGCCAAGGTACCATAAGGACAGAAGACTTGTTAAATACTTCCTAAGACTTGACAAATCACATGAAAAACACGCACGCAAATATTTTCTTACCGTACCTTGACCTAGATGTTTATCTCCTGCTCTAGGCTCCTCCAGCCTGTAGTTGCCGCTCCCAACATTGAGGGTGAGTTCCGAGAGATTTGTGCTTATCTCCGCGTCATCAAAATCCATATGGCTTGAAAAGGCATCTCCGGTTAGAAGCGGGTCTATCGCCAGTGGAGAACACGGCGGAGACGGAGAAGACAGAGAGGACCTCGGGGACAGCGATGTCATCGATTTGGGGGTACCGGACAACGATCTCAGAGCTGGGATGCGGCCGGTGGCGTCCGCTTGGTGAGTTTTGGCTACCTCGTTTTCGTGAATAGTGGTGATGTAGCCTGACGGTCTAAATCCAGTGGCTCCTTCTAAGAGCAAGTCAATTTTGTTTTGATAGTCCGGGTCCAACTGCTCCAACTGTTCCATTTGCTCGTAGTAAAGATCCGTGTAACTGGCCGAGGTGGAAGAATCCTGGCTGGACGTGGCAAGAGATCCTCTGCTAGATGCAAGGGAACCGGGGCTGCTGCTCGAGGAGAGGGAAAGCATGCTGGTAGAGAGACTGAAGGAAACACAAATCAGAAAATCAGAAACCGTACCTCCTAACTCTTGAGAAAAAACTGCAGTCCCGTTAAAACATCGATTCCACGCAGCTTTTTTTGCTTTGCTAGCCTTGTCCACGTGCATTAGTCCCCATGACAACTCAGAACGGCATGGAGTCAGGATGCATTTCAATAAAAATCATGCGTTCATTTCGCATTTTTCAGTTCACGACAAATATCAGAACAATCCAAACAGGTAAGCCAAAACAGCTTTAGCAAACAGGTTCAAAACAGTCAAATTAGTAGCAATATCCTTCCCAAAAGTCTGGAAAAACTGTAGTTCTTGTTAGCCTCTCGAGCAGACCAGGAAAGCCAGTAAACCCCATGCACGAGATGAACGGGGAGTCCGAGTAACTAGCCATCCGTCTGCACAGTAATAACTTCCATTGGCCTCATCTTTGACCCAACCTCAAAAGCTCACTAGGGCTCTCTCTTAGACATCATAACTACTAGTTATCAGAACACTGGCAGGATTTATCTGTGTGCCAAACAGACAGCTACGTGACATCAGAGGCCACAAGTGCGAGCAACAAGTTCGGTCAGGGCTGTGAAATCATTCCACATAAGCCATTTACCCCTAGTGATCTAGTTGCAGAASGTAACAGAGAGTAAAATCAATTTTAGGCAGGTTTGGTGAGATCAGACGCCTCAACACTGAGTTCTCTGCTCAGAGGTTATCAGCCTGCCTGGTTGAGCATGGCACAAATTGGACACGCTGGCAGGAGCGCGCCTAGGAAGTGCATTACACCTGCTTTTAAGTCAGCCTTAGGCCTTTTGGTTCATAATAGAAACTCTGCACTGATTTTTTTTTATATAAAACAGAAGAACACACATGTAATTTCAAATTCCTGCTTTTGCATGTTTCTCAACTGAAGTTAGGTACTTTTGTTCATTTTCATTGTCCACAGAGATGGAGCTCAACAGGAAATATCTTTCTCACTTAATCCATTTAGGCTAAGTCATGGTAGAAGAACTCCTTACAACTAGATCCAATAAATACTCAACTCCTCTAATAGATAACATCCTTAGAAAGTGTATTTAAACRATTATTATTACCTCAGATATTAAGTATCTCTTTACTGAGGTCTAAACCCCTACTTTTGATAAGAATTAGCTACAGAGATTTCCACATATGTACAAGTAGCTTAAAACCTGTCACATATTGAAAAGCACTGAGGATGTTACTTAACAGGGCTAATATTCCTCATTTATTATTTAGGGAATAAAAGCTTGAGGCTAAGTCCGTAAAATTATGCTCAGGAGCTTAGGAGAACGAGACAATTAGGCAGCATTCAGACCGATTCTGTCACTACCTGGCGCRTTGGTACGGCAGAGGTGCAACACCACACTTGTCCAAAACAGCTTTGGAGTCAACTATGATGGGGTAAATGGGGTAACAGCTTCTGCATCTTGGCCATATATATAAACCTAGGTAGGACTAAAAAGTTGGCAGCTCTGTTGCGTATTCGACTATCAAACGGGGCTCGGTTCATTTTGGAGCCTATCTTTGCATGCAAGGCACTTGGCATTACGGGGTTAATAACAAATGCTCATCAAGAGCACATCAAGCCCACAGYGCATATAGTTAGCACCAGAATTAGTTGCACATGCTTTTTGGTCACCTCCAAAGATCCCTAATCAGCTAGATGGAATGAAAATAGAATGCAGTTCCACTGCGTGAGAGCATCACAGACAGCTATCCTCCACGGTGGCTTTTTAATATCATGTCAGTCTCGCTCTCTGATTTCTTTCCAGTCTTTTCAGTATCATCTTCATTAAATCAAACCAATCCAAGCGGGGCAGAAGCTAAGAACAGAGCAAATTCAGTACATACAAGGCAGGAAAACACCTCAGCCAAACCCTAGTGCTACACTCTTCCTCTCAGAAGCCTGTAACYAGATCTGCCCTTCATGCCTATGGACAAGCCTTGGGCCCTGCACATGGAGATGYCAGGCTCTCCGAAGCCACGGCCCAACAAGCAGCAGTCATCGTGACTTCAGAAACATTCTGTATCCGCCATGGTCCACTACAAACTCTGGGATACCCCAATACATAGTCTATATTGCACGCAGCAGCACACTTCAAATTCAGAGAAGCATCATGACGCGCATGACAAATATAACAAAGCATATTTGCATTGGTGACGTTCACTTTGCTTGCTGTGAGAGGCAAGCAGTCTTTTTAGAGTAGCTTAAAAAAGGTAACTTCAGKACTACAAACACTCTGAGGGAGTATCTCACCTAGCCTTACCCATCGTAGCACTATTAAAAAAAGGGACTTGGTTATTAGAAAGAGCATGTTCACAAGGTCATTTAACTTGTCCTAAGGCGGACATCCAACRTCTGTGGGATAAATCCTCTTGATGGATTGCAGTAGCTCTCCAACAAGAGCTACTGAGGAAGCTTAGATGACTACAGTAACAGAGAGGCCTTCCAGTAACTCAACTGGGACACGAAATCTGGTCGGGAAGGGATGGTTACGCCGCATGCGGTTCAAAAACATCCGGTTTCTATCAAAAGTTACCAACTCACCTTTTCAGCTGGGTGTGTAACATGGCAACTAATCGTGTTGTTTCCTCCAGTTCTCGGATTAGTTGATTTCTTTTGCTATTCAGCTTCAACCTAAGAGAGAAGGAGCAGTTAAAGCCATATTTAATGTACAAGGAAAACTAAAGGAAATTCAAACCCTTCTATGTTAACCTACCAAAGTTGATGAAAAGGCACACGTTACTAAGTAGGACAGAACTAGGACAAGACTTGAAAGTACTTTTCACATTCTAATCCTCATAACATGTGCAACTTGCTTCTGAAAACATTTGCAACCGAGCAAAGCGTTCCACCTAATACTTTAGAAGCTAGCAGAAACTACAAGCTAGCTTTCTAGAATCAGGCCTCAGAGTCGTTGGGCAGATTTAGCTGGCCATGCATGGTAGTGCCCTTATACTCACAGTGGCAACCACATAACCCCTTTATTTTGTTTTCAGTTAGATCCATGGATGGTTTAAATTTACATGATTAAGTTATTAACCATCTCATTAGGGCTTCAGATCCAAGGAGTTCAAAGATGTCTCAATTTTACCTCACGCCTGGCCTGGTTTAAGACACCGTACCGCAACGTGACCTCAGGGATGCATTCGCTAACTTGACTCGCCTCTAGACAAGAAACCCTTTCCCTGAAAGCTGCTATTTCTTTGGCCTGCTCCTGTATCATAAAAAGTGTTTATCTTCCAGTGAATGCCAGAAACCTGTGTTGAAACTTAGATCTTTCAGGTGAAAGAAAATCCTGAAATCTGAGACTTGTTAGATGCCTAGATTTTTGAGTAACATAAAATTGTGRAGAAAACACTATTTAAAGCATGTGCCGTCTGAACACCAAATATCCGAAGGACAGGAAAATATGAAATCATAAAAGGAATACAACGTGCTCCTTCGGCATAGTCAAGAGACTGTACCTGAAAGCACAGCCACCCACGTGAACATATCCAAAATGTAAAGTGTTTGTAGGCAAGGCCTTATGTGCACTCTTCATTCTCACCACACACACGAGCCACAAGATACACTGCAATACAACTAAAATGGGGGAGGACAGTTGACAACACTTTTCCTCACGAGTTCAGATTCACAGGATAGCCCGTGCACCTCCCACACTCCTGTCAAACGCTGACTCCTACAAGKATCGCATGCAGGGATGCTGCAAATGCAGACGGGAGTGGGAAACTTCTCAAGTCAATCTGTTGGCATTTACCGAGGTCCAGACTGCACAGCAACTGCACAAGCTGCTAATACACTAACATACTGAGCTATTTCAGGGATTACCCTTGAAATAGCTATGCCGAAACATTAACACTGCTTATACCCTCCTTTAGCATCCCTTTGCAGGAAAAGCACCGCAATAACCCTTCGCTTGTAGGAACAAAGAATGGCTTCCTAAGGCAGCTCCTTTTGGGAGATGATTTCAGGAACCTTTGAAGGAGGAACAGGCCCTCGGAAATCTGAGGGCATCCCCCTTAGAACCTTCAGACAGGAAAGTGTCCCACCCACTCTTCAAKGCCTCTGCTGCAACAGAGCAAGCTCTGCCCTGTGCCCAGTAACCTACCTCTCAGTGAGAGCTTTGCTCTGAGTGTCTCTCGCTGTCTGAAGATCTTCCTCCAAGCGCTTTCTCTCCGTCTCCAGTCTCTCCACCTCACCTCGAGTCCATTTTCTGGGGCTAATAAATCGCATTTCTTTCAAGAGTTCCTCCTTCTCATTAATTAGGATGAGTCGGTCCCGCTCAGAATCCAGCACGCCGGGCCACGCCTCGCTGTCCAGCTTGGCCAGTTGGATTTTCAGGTTTGCTATCCTGCAGCAGAAGGACAAAGGCTGTTGTTAAAGGGGAGTCTCAGCCATTAACTGCTTCTCCAGAGGAGAGGCACCATCATTAACCACTTCCTCCATAGCCCTAAGGGAGGTCCTTCAGGTCAGAGATAATGCTTCTCACCAAGACTCTCTGCTAAACCTGTGGTTCCCATCAGTCAGAGCATCACGTAACAACAATTTTGGGCCTCAAGAAAGGCTAAGAGAGCTCCAGTAGAGGAGTTCCACACAATCAGGAGCTGAACACCTCATAGCAGCGCCGAGAATATCACATATTAGATAACTGCTCTTTAATCAACTTCGACCTTCAATTCAAATACCTTGAGAGAGATTATTGGATTTTCAAAAGTCTAGAAGGAGAGCTTGYCGTCCTCTTATTGAGGTAAACAACCAAATGCATGCTGCTTTTAGAAGAAGCAACACTCTGTGGAAATCCAGAGACATTATCTGCATGAAATTTCAAGTCCAGTTTGATGTTATTTATCAGTCCACATCTCCGCTGAAACCTGGAATCGCTAAACTGGCAGCGCCCTTCTGCACCATCTCACCAAGCAAGGCGATTTAATAGGAATTCAGATGTCAAAATGAACAAGGGTTTTGACAAAGCAGGACAGCATGGGTTTTAGCAGGTCAAGAAGGTCTCACCGCCAACTACCTGCCCAGTCCCTACTTCCAAAGTACAGAAATGCTGAGTTAGCTCTGCACACAATCAATTTTGCAACCGATGGCAACATTCAGAGGCAAGCCAAACAAATGAGGAGAGGACAGGGTACGGCACCAAAGGCAATACTGCCAGCAGCTGTATCTGCTTGCTCCTCATGAACCTAGAGCACCTCATGACCTGAAGGGGTCATTATTGTAGTTTCGTGGGAAACAATAACCAAGTTGACTAGGACTTAGCATTCAGTGCTATTGCATTTCTGAAACTTGCACTTTTAAAAAGGATTGAGCGTGAAAGCGAGGAATTGAAAAGGCAGATTTGGTTGGAGATGCAGACAGCGTAGAAGCTTACAAGTCAAACATCCATCACCCCGAGACACCTGACTAAAACCAGGTCATCCACAGACATGGCTGTAACTTCTAATGAYTACCTATTAGTTTCATTTAGATTTAATAAAGACTAATGAAGTGGAATTCCACACATGTAAAACCTAAGTCTGATGCTCATCTCCCATGGAAAAGGGCTCCRAGATCCCATGCTGGAATCACTGAACCTTAAGACAAGGTACTSTTACTCAAACATCTATGTAGCTTCTTTCTGGAACTTGCTTGGTTTGAAGTTAATTAGCACAAATCCAAGCACAGCGCGACTTCCGCTCCAGCTATAACTTGCAAACCAAAAGTGAACGGAAAAACAAGACGCAGATCTGGGCAATCGCAGCTACGAGACCACTGAACAGCCTTGAAGAAGAAAGCTTTATTTTCCAAGCTCTGGAAATCGAGGGAGCTTGGCAAACTCAAACTGCTCATGAAATGCAAGTCTGAAAATCAGGCCTCGCAGACTGACCTGCCTCCTCACTCGCAGAAGACAGGACAGAGGGCACCTTTCAGAAGGAAAGACTCACCTCGTCTCGTAAAGCCACCTCCCGCAGCAGTTGGTTTACGCTAATTGGCATTCCATAATCGTTAGACATTCCGCTATTTTTAGGTCTTCTCAGGAGCTATTATGTTTGAGTGCTGGGTAAGCTCAGCGTTGCACTCCAATGAAGAATTAACAGTGGCATTGTGGCATTAATTAATAATCCGGGAATTCCTCTGTGCATTTTCAAGGGCTACGAACTTAAGAGGATTGGTTGGCATTAATCTGATCTCTTTGGGCATACATTTGCATGGATATGGCTTTGCCAGTGGAATTTGTCCTCAATGCACTTGGAAGCCTTACAGCTCTGTTAAAGGAACTCAGCCTTTTGCCCTGCTTTATAAAAATGCTCATTCTTTTCCCCTTTTCAATTAAAAAGCAAGTTTGCATATTCCATTTCCCCTAGTCCAGTAACAGGATATCACAAGAAAAGGAACRCTTTGCAGGTAGTCTGACATTTAGCTGAAAACTGCAGCCCTTTGGCATTCCCCGACTGCCACCTGGACCAACATCCTTCAGGGTGCACGCTCAGCGTGCATCAGTGAAACCGGACTCTCCAGTTACGCGGAGTCTTTCCAAATATTTGCAAGCGTTTCCCTGTTTGCAAAGCTGAACATGCGGAATAGGAAGCTCAGGTTTTATTTACTCTACTACTTATCTGGAAAAGTTGACATGTTATCATGGGTATTCTTATGATATCAAACTTCATTCTTTCTTTTTTTTACTGCTATTTTCCCTGCTATATAAAGCAGGGAAAACTCCTAATCTCTTTGGAGGAATTTTAGGGCACGTGCCTCTCCAGAGCTGCACACTAAGACAAGAAGCCCCAGGAGCTTAATGCTCCCATGAGCTGAAGCACCAGCTGCTCTAGGGCTTTTACTCTTGCAGCCAGGCAAAAAGACAGAGTGAAAACTTTAATCTTTGCAAAAAAGCAAACCAGCTCTCTAAACGTAACTATTCTGCTATGTTATGCATTAACACAATATACCTGTTTCATTATTTGACTAAAAGCCATGCAAACATTCAGGACATTTAGAATAAAGGAGAGATGCCTTCCAATATAAATGCCTTATGTGGAACAGGGAGACATTGGCAACAGGCAGCAAAACCACTTAGGTCCCCGCAGGTGTGGCCAGACTGAGGTCTTGGTGTATTCGTCACTCCTCAGAAACATCCAGGATGGTTATTTATTTCTTAAAAGATAACATTAGCCCGGAAAGCCTGTTCACCGGCTCAAGGATTACTGTTTTCTTCGGCAGTAACGCTGGGCTGCGATGCAAAGCCGAGCGGCACCATTTCTAGGGCATCCGCTGATAGAACCAGTTGTGCGAGAACCAAAAGGTACAAATAAAATAATTACCTTCTCTTTGCTTCTTCGTAGCGGAGGCGTAATCTCACTTTCTCAGCCAATTGGTTACTGCTGCTTGAAATAAACTGGGACAAAACAGAAAGTCAGCAATCTAGTAACTACTCATCTATAGAAATTCTTCATCAAAATTGGTCGTACAACAAGTTAAGCTTGATCTCGCAAGCGGGTTTAACTTGGTAAATGAAGAGCAGAACAGGAAAATATTTCTTTTGATTCATTTCTTAATTACTGCATGGATAGGAACACATGGATATGGAATGCATGGATAGGAACACAAAGCTCAGAAGCTTTTTGACCTAATTTACCATATAAAACAACCTATCACCTGCATTTCAGCCTTCTATTTTGAGGTACACAGGAGCATTGCAATCTTAATCCCTTACACATTCCGCTTTGGACAACACATTCTCCTGGGTGGGGATTCCTAAAGACAAAGGCCATTTCTGCAGGCTCAGCTCTACAGATCTTCAATCATTTAAGTGGCCTGCAATGGAAATAACTACAAGCTTTTAAAGTGAAGATTCCCAAGAGAGGCTGTGACGTCCCATACACCTATAACGTGGGTCAGGTTCTTGCTCAGGCTTGCACAAAKCCGCCAATTATGATTTCATTGCAGAAGTAAGAATCAAAGTTTACAAAGTACCACGTACGTTCGATGGCATCAACCTATCCGCCCATATGCCACCACTTTCACTCACAATACTCACAAGCTAAAAATAAAATGCRCTCTGTTAAGCAAAGAGTCCTAGTGAGAGCTTACTCCATATGTAGCTCCACAGTGTTTCTTAACTGCTAGGATCACACTATTACAAAGAGCCTAGGAATATTAGCACCTCATCAAGATACACCTAGAGCCTAAATTACTTGTCTTTTATTTCCACTTGAGTTCTTCTGATGGAATCAGTGTGAAGAGAGCTGGATGCCTTTATAGATACACTAGTAGTGCACATAAAAGTGAACATCACACTAACATTTAAACCATTAGACCCTAAAGTTTCATAGATTTTTGCCCCTGCTTGGGGACTTGCATTAAGGCAGCACTACTTCTTGTGGAGAGCAATGTTTCTATACACTGTTGGTTTCTCACATTGTACTCACATTTCCCGAAACATCCGTCTGGGAGCTGACATCCAGGTACCGYCTGGGTAACGAAGGGCTGGAGCTCTCCAAGGACACGCTGCTGGCCCACGCGTCTGGCTGCGATCCTCTGTCATTCACGAAGCTGTCTTTCAACCTGGCTAAGCTCTAAGATAAGAAAAATCATCAGATGAGTTGATTTTTGCTCAAAACACTTCAGTGCCACAGCGCATGAGTTTAAACCACGACTAAAATGTGACCACGTTGACTGTGCACRCTGAAGATGGCGCCTACAAGCACAAGGTTGAACATGACCTGCTTACATCTCCCTCAGCACAAAGAAGCCCTCCAGACTGAGGGCACAAGAGCATYGACAGGCTGCCTGTCCCGCTTTGAGAAATATGGGATCTTTAGTCGTCTCCTGCAAAGGACATCCCACACAGGCCACAACATTTTCACAGCTTCTTCTGGCCTGCTCATGACAGCGGTAGACAGACACACCGGTTCATTCTCTATCTTTAAGAACTTCAGCAAATTCCCACTGTTACCGCTTATATCTCATGATATTTTGTGGTTTCGTGATTTGAGGATTACAAAGATTACATTCCAAACCCAATATGCACTTATTGCATTAATAACAAGTTTTGGTTATGCTTTTGAAATAGAAAAAGCCTAATCTACAACTTGTGAGTTATGTTTTCAACTCACAAGTTGACTGTGCCAGTATTTGGGACCCTAAAAGCATTACCAAGTTATGTTGCTTCAGTACCTGAATGAGGTCTTGTTTTTCCTTCTCCCCTGAAGTGATAGCCTTCTTGATGGCTTTCATTTCACTTAAGATGGCTTGCGCTTCATCAAGTTTGTAGCCACCTTGAGTATCAGACATTTTCATGTCAATTCTACACAGAAGTTTGAAAAAATATAGTAGGTTAAAGTTTGTTATAATCCCAGCAATTTAAACATCCTAAATGCACAYACTTTTGCTACTTGTTTTGCAAGAAAACAGTCATAAGGTTCATGACTATTTTTCAAGAAAACATTCAAGATAGGCAGGCAGTGAAGGGCTCCTTGCTGCTAAGTCGCTTCCCTCAGGAGCACGTGCAGCTTCCTATCTCCCCAGATAGCCACGGCATCGCAGATTCCGTACACCTTCTCCGAGGCCAGGAAAAGGACACACGCACAAGCCCCAAGGAGCCTGCGGACAGATCGCTGACAGTCACCTTGTCYCTAATGTAAGGGAGATCGAATTAGTCATCTAAGGAAATTGACTTAAGTCGCATCTTTGAAACCAGACATAGGCCTCACACAGAGACGTATTTCTCACATAATCCAATGACTAGCGATCCTTGCCTCTTCCCAGAGAAATTCTACCCAACTTAATGCTTATAAAAATTCAGAGATTAACCGGTGATACGACTTAAAACATGCCAGCTGCTTATTCATACACAGCTAAGTACCTGAAACTCTTCCTCTCCCTGCTTCACCACCTCAATGTTTTCTCCTCTGTGCCCTAAAACAGCAACTCAGAACCAAGGCAAAAGACCATATTGTGGCACAGGTGGTGAGCAACGCGGAATGCCATTTGACCCACGCAATCTTGGCCTAAAACCTATTTGCCATGAAGTTAACTCCAATGTGGCCAATCACATTCGGACAAAAATTTGACAAAATCAACTCCCTGCCTGTATCCTGCTTTTAGAGTTGYTTCTGCTTAAGGGTATCAGCAACAGCATACGTCAACTTCTGTTATTTAGGTAGTTCTACACAAATATGTATGCAAGACAAGCCCAGGGAATTACACGGAACATAAGTTGTTCAAATGAAACTTACTTTTTCAGCGTTTGAAATCCATGTTCTTTGTACTGGAGTTCTTGTTTCATGTGAGCTACCTCTCTCTTGAGTTTATTAACCTGTAACAAGGTTTTATATTTTTAGAATGACACCATATGAATATTTAGGTGCAGCATTTTCCCATTCATTTCAACATGTACCTAGGGACAGTACCCCGAAGCTGCGTAGGAAACCAGTTCATCCCAGCAGCAGCAGCCGGTAGCCCTGACCATCTCCGCATCAGTTAGGGACATTATTACTGCTTAGGGGTTTATCCAGTAGACAGATATTGCACCCTCTAATAAGATACTYAAGGGAAGTCTCCACCTCACAAGCAGAAAAGCTGAGAAGAATTCAGGGAGACAGACGTGAACGAACTGCTATGACTTTACTCAATAACCTTTAAAAATTTCACAGGCAAAACTACAACATTAAGCATCAGGACTGGAGTCAGAGTGCAAAGGTAGAGGTTGTCCTCCAAGACAYGAAATTACGAGGCCCCATTGCACAACAGAAGACCTGCCAGACTCCGGAGCCCGTGTAGAGCTCCCCAACACTGCTGGGCACCGGGAGGCAGCAGGCAGTCCCTCACCCGCAGCCGTTCCTGTGGAGAACTAAGCACTATCAGCTCCCAAGGAAGTCCAACGCCTACACGGAAAGAGAAGTTCCACGCTGTCCAGGAACAGCTCATGAGGATTTTGGTTATTTATCTCCTAGATGAAGAATGGCACCATTAGCTCTTTCAAACGCTTCAGTATCTTTCAACCGTTCACTGTCAACTAGATCTCAACATCTAGATGTCAYGAGGCTTGGAAGTATCTGAAGATGCCTCGTGGTAAGCAGAGACCCATCTTGCAACTCTTACCCTGGATTTTGTAGTGGCAATCTCCGCTTTGAGAATCTCCGGGTCATACTTAGAGCTGGATGACGAGCCAGAGAGCACTGAAACAGATAACACACCAAGTTTAGCAGCCTTACCTTCCTCCCTCTCCTCTTCTTCAGGTCCTCTTGTGAAACAAGGCCTCCCACSACTCCTGCACACTCATTTCCCCCCACTGCTGAGGCCTATTTCCCATTTTYCATGCTCTCCTCACTCCTCCCTAAAGGCAAGGAAAGGCAACAGGGCAGTCACATGCTCTGCAACAAGCATACGCTAAGAAAAAAGTCTCCATTCATCCCAGGTTAAACCACTTGACTCTGTGGACTCCCCAATACATTCAACTTATTCAGATGAGCGTGGCCTCCTGTATTCCCAAGGCATTTGCAAAACTAAAGGAGCAGCCTCTGCGAGAAGGTTGACTGTATTTAAGGCTTTCCCCTCGAGTAAACCATCCAGAGAATGTTCAGAAACAAAGAAAAGCAAAGATTAAGACACTAAAAAACTCAACGCAGGCCTTGCCACAGCCTTGAGGACACGACCAGCCACCCAATATGTCACACTGGATTAGATCAGTGTGTCATCAGAAACAGCACTCTTCTCAGTAGCAGCTAAAACCCTTGTGCATCAGAAAGTAAAGGAGGTCCCTGACGCGCGGGGTTGTTAGCGGTAGCTGTAGGCTAYAGAGTTATTTGGATCCTCACAGGCATCAGTTTACGCCCTATAAAACATGGAAAAGCTTTTCTGGTTCTCTCCAATGGTATTTTAAAATGGACATCACGSCCCTTTTATTCATGTTCACACTGTTTTTCCTGTCCTGCTTTAATATATTAAGAGAGAGTGCTTCTTGAGGAAGCACCAAGAAGTTGACTTGAGGGACAAGAGGCTGGACAGTGATTGCTTTAAACAATCCTTCAACAACAGAAGGCTACTTGTATACTAAAAAACACATGGACAAAACTCAAGAGAAAACAGAACAAAATATACACATGTGTGTTTTGAGTGGCCTGTGGAATTTACCAACACAAAATACAGTCCAGTATGAGGGAGAAAGGAATTGGCCCATTGACGTGGCTAGCGAGCACAGCAAGCTCACAAGAGCAAAGATTAGGAAAAGTCTTCCTGAAGTCAGGCGTGAAAGACATAATTCCTGGGCATTTTCCTCGGTGCTACCTAGTAACAAAGAAAGGGGAAACTCATCCTTCTGTCAACCTCCCTGCATCAGTTTTTGAACAAAAAGGTTCCGGGGCTTCCTGCCACGACAGACAAAATGGGACTGAAAACAGCTTTTTTCACACAGAGAGATAATCCAGTAATTTTGGCTTTTCTGTGGCATAAAACACTGACTGGTAGTTTCCCAAGGGAGTCACTCAACTAATTGGGATGCTGAGCTCCAAAGGGTCCTGGGAACACTCAGAGATAAACATTGGTTCCCTGAACGGGACCCAAGAAATGCAAGTTATGAGGCTGGCATCCTTTGACTGGCAAGCACAACTTGCTGGAAACCTCAGGAAATGACTTAACCTCGGCCTCTAAGCTGGCACCAGCTGAAAACAGACGGGACAACTGGGCTGAAGCAGAGCTGCATGTCAAGTGAGCGCGAGCCGAACACAAGAGCCTGAAAACTTGAGGGGAAAAGGAAGCAGTAAAAGCAAAAGAAGGACATAACATTAAAAGGGTATTTAGAACGACTGGAAGGGGAGCTTTACTGAAGGATGGAGGATCAAGCATCCAAGTTGAGCGCTCAGCAGCAAGATAGCTGTTAGCCACAAGGCAAATTCCTGAAAGAATTAAAATAATGGTTCAGGTCTAACGCCTGTCCCCTCAAAAACCTGGGGAGATGCCAAGGGGATGTAGCCCGCTCAGCAGCTGCAGACAGCAGTAAGAACATCAATGGTCACCACTGCTAGGAACAGCAAGCACCAAAGCACGTCAGGAACCCCGGGTCTCAGGAAGGCTGAGTCTGGGCAAAATGACAGTTTTCAGATTGCCTTCTTACCTTATTTCTGTATTTTGGGCAGAGGCACCAAAGAAAATAACCCTGAACTTTGTTGTTTCAAACTTGTTGGAGTCCGTGCTGAAAAACTGTGCAGCATCTCCAGTACATTGGGAGCCATCTGAGACAGCCACAATCATGTTTCATACTAATTACCTTTACCAAAGGTGTGCTAGGCAGCTGCTCTCGAGGGAAACCGAGCAAACAGAGTATTTGACATGGTGCGACATACCCAAGCACCCTAGCAGAGGCCGTTTCCAAGCATTTTATCATTTTAGCTGCATCACGACTGAGAAAATGACTTGATAAGAGTTCATTAAATACTCACAACTAGTCTGAGAGCCCAGCTTGTGCTCCCAAACATCGTGCAGCTGCCGATATTCCTGCTGGGCCAATTCAAGCCGCTGCTGTTTCACTTGATAGATCTCCTTCTGCGCAGCAATTGCCTCTTGAGCCAGGACAAGATAGTCTTTCAGCATGTGCTCCTGCTCCCGCCGCCACTGCACACGGGGATCCTCGATCTGGGTTGTTTCTCGAGGAGGAAACAGAAGAGGAGACGGGGTGAATCACAAACAGCCTTGTGTTGCTGCCTGGAGAAGCTCCACTGTGAGTGGCAATAGTTTCAAGCAGCTCACGTACACACAGCCCAGAGACAGAGGGAGAAAAAGCACGTGTGCTTTCTGCTTTCGAAGTGACCACCGATTCCCATGAAGGCTCAGCAGCTGCCACGCTGAGTCACTGCATTCAAAGATGTGTCCCCCAAATCCCTGTGCACTCTCCAACCCTTCCGCTGCTGAAGCCGCCCCGACTCGGCCCCTATAGCACCACACCAGCACGTGCATATGTAAGCTCTGTGACACCGACACCAAGCGTGGCACTTATCTTTATTGGAACTGCTTTATAACATAACTAATAAAATAGTTCTGCTACTTTACTGATAGGAATCATGCAGAAAACACCCTGGCCACGTGACTGCCTCCRACTCCATCGCGTGGCCTTGTGAAAGCCGCTTCCAGCTCGGCCTCCCTTGGCTGCCTTTTTTTCACTGCCAAGAGGCTTTTATTTACAGGAAGAGAGAAAATAATATGGGATGGCAGATTCCATAGGTAAGGACAAATAAAGCAAGGTTAAATCATACCAGATATTCATGACAGCATCTCAAATTGCATTGCTTAGACAGCACCTCACTAAAGGGGAGTAAACATTTTCTTCTGAAGGGGGGCACGTAAGGATTAAACTATTGTCAAATCCTTGGGAAGCCTTCAAGAAAAAATATTTGGGGATCACAGAGGCAACACATGAGCATCAACAGCTTAAATCATTTCACCCCATGATCCCAGTGCAACCAAAACCGCTGGAGGTTCCCAATCACAGACATGCAGCTGATCCTAACACTCATCAAGCAAATTACATGTCACTACTTTTAGTTTTGTGCTCAAGCACTCAAATTCGGTGCCATTCTCTTGGAAAGTTGCAGCRGGTGCTTGCTTGGACCAGCTTCCCATGCCTGGTTGCCTTGAGGCTCTAAAGTCGTCTAAACTAACATGCTAGAACCCGGATGCCGAGTTACCACAAAATGAATAATTAACTGCAAGGAAAAGCTGGGAACTATCAGCAGGAATCTAAGCTGCATATTTAAGGAGCCTCTTTAAATATTCAGTGAAAACTGTCATTTTGGGAGGCACAGTCAGGTGTAAAGCAAGTCAGACACTAGACTAAGGCAGGCTTTAGTAAATGCAATGCATTTGGTGAAATTCTAACAATAATCCTAGATTCAGMACTTGAGATAAACAATTTGATCCAATGGACCTAGATGCATTTTCACCACTTTGCCCATGGATCACATGGATGAGAAAATTAAGAGAGGACTCCAATAACRGGGATTTAACAGCAGGATAAGACATACAGGAACAAATGACAAAGCCCGGACAACAAGAAGCTGCAAAAGTAAGGGCTTTAAATAAATCAATAAATATTCTGTGAGCACAAGGAACAGCCGAGTTGCTATGGCTACTACAACTAAGCCTGGGCCTGAAAAAAATGCCTTAAAATAACTTAAGGAAAAGAAACAAAACAAAAAAMCCCCAACCCACTACGTGGTTTCACTTCAGAGGAAGCAACAAGCCAAAGGGAAACATGTCAACCATCTCACCTCAGTGAGCCTGGCCATCCCTTTTTTCCAGGCTCTCATCTAATCTATCCTCCTGAAGTTGGTTCTCTGGAGACAACATCGTCCAATTGTCCCAAATGGGACAGCAACCTCGAGCTCCCAGCTGAACAGGAAAGGAAAGGAGGAAAATCCTGAGGGAAAATCTGATGCGAGCCACCTGGAGATGCCCTCTCCAGCAGCATGAAAGCCCTCCAACAGACTCGTGAGCTGCCAGGTGGAAGGCTCCAGGAGTCTGAACACTTCCAGCAGTGGAGCTAAGATCTAACTCAGATACTATCAAACCAATTTCAGTGAAATAATGATTTCTTTTTCCAATAAAGAAATCTGTTTCCAAAAATCACAAGGTTAAAACAAGCAGGAAGCCATTAAAAACAAACAGCTGTCATATTTTAACAAAATCCTTTAGTAAAGAGACTATGGATTCCCCACTCTATGTAACTACAGAAGGAATCCAAGGAGACATTCGCCAGGACATTCAGCCCCAATATTACAGCCATTTAACCTCCCCTCTCCCATCATTTGAACCTTCATCTTTGAGGCATCCTGCCATTTAAGGCATCCATTTTCAGCTTAGGGTATTGCTTGTGGCTTATCTGATATTACAAATAACACACAAAAATAGAGCATTATCGTTGATATCTCAGTTCTTTGCATAACCATCAGCAGAACCAAAACAAGGACACAAACGTCTTCAGCCCTAAAGAAATGCCCCRCTCTTCCATCCAGATGGACATAAGCAACACTTATGCAGCTCTGACCACATGCTATTAGGGTGGGGAGAAGACACATCAAGTCCTCAAGACATGCCCACATCAAGGAAAATAGCCCTTTCCTCCACAGGACAATGGCCCGTGTCCCCTTCCCTGGGAAGGGCGAGCAAGGGAGCAGAAAGGAGAAAAACTATCTTGCTGGTCTGTACGTTGAACAGGAGCGGGCAGAGTTCCCCTATATTGCACACCAACTGATACAGAGTCCCCTCTGCTCAGGCAAARTGACTTCCCTGCAAATCTGCGATCAAGGAAAAGCAGAATTCCCAATACGAACACACCACCTAACAGGGCAAGTCCTCGCAGACCAAGGCAATGGACAGGATGGACTATGCAAGTGTCAACTGAACCTGCACTATTCCCATTTTTCTCCCGTCTTTTTTGCAATCACAGCACTAACTTTATCCCTTTAATTGCAGCACGGAGCTTTGATTTTCACACAGGCAGCCACAATCTATCCAGAGCTCCCGGTTTGCCCAAACTCCTGTGAAACGCACAACACRTTCCCAAACCAGATGAAAAGACTACAGGAACACAGGTTATTGTATCATTTATTGTCTTCTGAATTAATTTCATGTAGAGCTTGTCATAAATACGGCTGAGGTTGTTTCAAGTTTGGAGAACGCCGCCTCGCTCTGCTTGCATCAGCACCTGGCAAGACAATTATCACTTCTCTGCACAAACCTAGTTCCAAAGAACTTCTGCCACAGCCTGAGACACACTCAGGGCTACGCATTAATATTGTATTAGGAATTTTCTGCATACTCAGTTCAATTTAATTATATTTATTTTCCCTCAGAGGGAAGGTTACAAGTGTTCTATACTTGGCTTTCTTTAATGGCTGCTGGCTTTAGATCTCATTTAGGTCTGTCCTTGGGCTCATTGCTGATAATTAGACTCCAATCCTTCAAGTCAGCAACAAGAACCAACCTGTCTCCATTCCCTTAATGGCCTCTGCTGACGGCTCCTCCCTGCGTAACAGATCTGGTGCAGACCTCAGAGAGGAAAAATGTTCTGGGGACTCTCCAGAAGATCATTCACAGAAGCCACACAGAGATGAAGCCCGTGATTAGCCAAGGAAATGGTTTGCACTATCATGACTTGGATGCAAGATGGCTTGGGAAATAAATAGGATTATGATTGTTTCTCTTTTTAACCAAAATCTTGATTTTGTTTCTCTTTTTAATTGAAATCTTAATTCAAGAATTGTAATATCTGGCATCCTGAAGAAGCCAAGAGCAACTGTTGTCTTCCAGATGCCGACAAGATGCGAGACACATCCTGGAAGCCTATGATTCTTCCAAATGGCAAGTGCCAGGAATAACGGCCCCGGGAACCACGCGGGCTCTGGACGTACGACCCAATCCAGGCACATGCTCGCTGTTCTCGCTGCGGCAAATAAACAAGCCGCATCTCTCTCAGCCCTAGATTCTGGGGGCCTCCAGCAAATCGCTGGTTCACAAAGGGCTTTGGGTCTGGGACACCCTGCACAAGATCTGGGACCAAAGGTAGGCATCCGTTTTTAGGCAAACCGTAGAGGACCAAATTAACTCTAGTTTTGACTAGGCGAGTCCATAGTAAAAAACAAACGCTCACCATCTTTGCTGTTCCACCTCATGAGCAGAGCGCAAGTCAGAATAACATCTTAGATCTGCCATTYGCTTCCATATTTTAATTCATTCCTATATTCAAGCATGCATGATCCTCAAAGTCATCTGAGCTTGAAAAAACTCAGTCCTAAGAGACGCGCGGATTGACAGGTGGGCAGACACAATCTATTTAGACTGCATGCTAAACAAATAACTTTAGAGGCTGTTGTCCTACAAATATTTGTCTTGTCACCTCACTGAAAAAATATCTTTTGTATCAGCAAGTAGTAACAAGTTACAAGTTTAGTGTACAATTTAAGTAGTAACTTAACAAATACAGTCTATCAGCAGTGCTGTTAAAACATTATTCTCCACAGCATCTACTCAGCAAAGCAGTTGTCAAGCTCAAGCACATCTGCCTCTGCAGAGCAGCAAATATATGGCTGGCAAAATAACTTGATTTTCATATTAAAGATATCTGCAAGAAACGGTCTATTTTGTTCATGGCTCCTCTTTCAGGGGATCTATTCCAGCACAATGCTATACAACTTTCCTAACAATTTTGGTAATAATATACCGAGTTTGAATTCTCATMTACAATCCAAAAGGCCTTCTTATGCACAGCACCTCAGTGCTGTAACAGAGGTGATAAAGAGCAGCTCAGTTTGAGGACAGAGAATGAAAATGCCACAAGTCCAAACTTAAGTCTAACTACTCTGACACTATCCGTGACATTCCAAGCCCGCCTGAAAGTTCCCCCTCGAGCAAAAAGCAGCACGACCCCCTGAAGCTCAGGGCACCCTACTAACAACACGTACAGTTGCCGAGTTTGTCCCTGCCAGGAGATCAACACAAAACCTTTGCTCTCCTGTGGATGATCTTGCCCCAAGGACAAATTCCAGGCTGAGACCAAATTCCAAGGCCCTGCTCCCTAGTCAGACTCTTCAACAGAGCCAAATTCTGCCAAGGGGTGTCCTTGGTGTCAGCCTCAACACAACTGGCCATTTGAAGGAGCAAACAAAAGAATCTCCTGTTTTACAGAAGGAACCAGCTCCTGTGTTGGAGCAGGATCTGCAGGGAGGGATTCTACAAACCACGAGCCATGTCAGCCCTTCCAAAGCACTTGGCTTTGCCATTTGGTGGTTTTGCATTCAGTTCATGTTAGCCCAGATACAAATACAATACTCTATAAAATACAAATACGTGTTACTTACTGGTGTTGTGGTCTATATAATACACTCCRACCTGAGGGTCGTAAGCTTCTTCCCATCCTAACGGCAATTCGTCACTAATGCAGTCTGCAAAGGTCAGTGGTTTAGTGTACCTGGAAAACACAAGGAGGTCGAGGATCAATAAAGGCGCACACACACACACACACACACTGCTCCCAAATAACTCACTAGGGAACAAGCATCACAGGAGACTTGATATAAAAATAACAAAAGTCAAAACTTTATTTTAAATCTTTAATTATTTTTAAGTACCRCAGCACAAGCTGTTCCTTCATCTAAAAATGGGAGCGAGATGAATCCTCCCTCCCAGACAGATTTCCCGAGCCTTGCCTGGCTCGGCCGGTGCTCGCGCCACAAAAGAACAGTGAGAACTTGGCCAGAAACAATCCTGGGCTTGCGGCTCAAAGAACAGGATTGTTTGCAGGCAAATCCTGTATCAAAAATATGTAGACAAGAAGGAGCAAGATGAAAAATGCAATTTGCATAGCATGAATAATTAGGACTTCACAATCAATACCAAGTGCTGAGGACTGTGGGACCACTTGTCATGCAACCCCAGGCATTTGCATTGCAATATGTTCTCTTGCATTAATGACAAATTACATCTGCTTTCAGTAGCGCAACAAAGTGTGACCCACTCAGTCCGAAAGGGGAGGTATTTCCACAACACTGCTCTAATTTCTCTATTTCAGAGCATGGCTGAGCAACATTTTAAGAGCTTCTGTGACTAAAATGCTTGCAATACGCACACCTTGAGTGCACCTTACAGATGGTGCTGATTGAAACTGCGCTCCTTGCTCTCCTCCTGCTGCCCRAGACCCACAGGGGGTTTCGCAGCTGCCAAGTGTTTGCGGGAGGTACCGGGAAGGCTCCCGGGATCTGCACCCCATGGGCGGCCAAGCACCATGGTGCTCTTGCTGCCTCTGGGGCTGCGCTTGCCAGGAGCTCCCCAAGCCAAACACAGCCACCGAGCCAGGCTCAGTCACTACCTGTAAGGGACATGCGCTGCACGAGCCACAATAAGGAGGTTAAGAGAGCAAATCGTCAACCCACAGTAAMGCAATATACAGATTTTCAAATGGCCTTTCACATTCAAATATATGTATGTAGCTGCAACCTTACTAACTAAGTCTCACTATCTGGCACCATCGAGCAAGCTGGCAGACCCACATGACAGCTTACGTGAGCAGTGTAAAACACCATTTTAAGAAATTAATTCCAACCAGAACAGGTAAAAAACAGTATTTAAAATGACCAACGTAATTCCCAGAGCGTGAGCTGGAGACGCAGGACACAGGCTGACCTAAGAGCCCATCTCAGAGCTGCGGAAGCCCAAAAGCAAAGCTCTGCTCCTAACTGCTGCTGAATTTTACTTTAAAACCATTGGTTTTGTTCCCTGCAGCACCACTTGAATGACTATTGCCTTTCAAGCGAGAATTAAGCTCTGTGGCAGAAAAATAACTTCAGAAATTTGCAGCACAAGAATGCCAAAAAAGGTCCCTTCAATAACAACACAGTTTACTGGGTTTTTTCTTTTTTCTTGGGTTTTTACTTTTCTGACTCCACACTGTGTCCCTACAGCTTGCTTCTGCAGAAAGCCCAGCTTAACATAGTCTCATCTCAGCACATCTAGGTGTAACTTACCCTGCGTTTTGGCCCGTTTCCTGGCCCCACAGCACCCAGAGTCCTACACAGGCTGCCCAGTGAGTCCAACCAGTTCAGGAAGCATCAAGACGAAAAGGTCAAGCAAAGGCAGACAGAAGCATCTCAATCTCTGCTACCAACACACTGGCAATTCCCAAACCAACATCAGGACAACCCTGGAAGTCCCGTAACTCCCATTTTAAAGGCTCCTCACCAAGCTGCAACATGGCCTCTAACTTCTCTCACACCTGGGCAATCAGCAGGATGCTCCTTCATAGGCAGCATCTGTGTCCCAGTAACTATCCGATTGCCCTGAGGAGCCTCATTTAGCTCCAGTATGTTCTCCCACAATGGCTAAAAGGGCTTGCAAGCATCTCATTGGCATAGGGTAGCTGTCATTCACCCAAAGCAATTAATTTTGAAACAAAATAATTCCCAACTTCCAAGTACTTATGGACATCATGTACATTTAGTTGTTCAGTAGCTATTTAGTAGTTTCAGAAGCAAATCACATACTTATGAAAACCTTTCCCTTGCTGCTGTGCAAGCCAGTGGCACAAATCAGAGAGGCAATGCTGTAAGGACAGATCTGAGACACGCAGGCCCCCGTACAGCCAGATTAATTTCACTTCTCTCAAAAAAACAAAACTATTTTAGGTGTTATTTTTATAAGAACTATGAGTCCGCTGGTGATGTAGCCAGGTAGATTAAACAAGTAAAAGGTCAGGTTGCTTCCCCACAGCAAATAATGCCCCAATAATTATTTCTGCACAAAATCAGACAATTTYGGCTCTTGAAAATTTAATACTAAGACACAAAAATTATTTACTGCAAAACATCTCACCTGCGGTTTACAGGCTTTGGAGGAGCCTTGAAAAGCTCTCATCAACTCACAGTCAAATCATTACCTAAATACCTCCCTGCTGCAGCCAGATGCAAAGCAGGGACTGGGAGAAAACCCAACTCCTTTCACCCACCACACGTCTACTATAAGGAAAGGAATTTCAGAAGTGATTTCCATACGTATACGTTGCACAACTTGCTTGGGAAACCTCCAGAAATGCTCGTTCAGTTGCAAAAGAAAGCCACACATATTACAGTTCAGAAATGCTAACATTACATGACTTGTCATCTTCAAGCCCAAGGAAGAGAACCCTATTCTAAGTTTAACATTTTGATTTTTCTTAAACTCCACTCGGTCCAGATAAAATATATGGCTATCTTCCAGGTGCTCGAGTTGCTCTACATCTCCTATCTCTTCTCATTTTGCTCAAAGAGTCTTCAGAGCATCATGGTGAGAAGAGACAGGTGACTAAAATGTTTCACTTGTTACTAAGCTGAAACTCCACAGAGAGGAATCCAGGATCCTTCTCACTTACCAGGCCTCGGCTGAGCAAGCTCCACTCTGCAGGCACAGAAAGAAGCTCCACTTTCCAACTCCGTGATGTCCAAGACAATCACTAAGTGAAATCTTGAGTTTTGCACATGAACTGAATAAGCCCAATATTCAAGAACAACAGGAATGCCAAGCTGCCTTCTACAGTTACCTACAGAAGTGAATATTGTGAATATTCCCAAGCTGTGAATGCTGCCAGCCATTTCCCAAAGGCATCGCGGCAGATCCATGTCTGGAGACCCAACACAACCACCCAGTACCTCAGCCAGGAGCCAGGGGACRGAGCAACCACCTTGCATCTAAAAACCCCTTGGCCCAAAGCATCTTTAGACAATCATCACTGAAGAGAACCAAAGAGGACTCGGGCACACACTTCATTTAAGCACAGCATTTTCTCAACAGCAGGGCCTTGGAACCATTACTGCCAAATAAACCCCCAAATATAGTCCCATCAAAACACAAACAACACCTGCACCTTTCTCTCTGCTGCAAGCAGTGACACATAAAACCAGCCAAACRCTGCAAAACAACAACCTCAAAATTTAGACATAAATCTTTAGCTTTCTCTTCTTTAACCAAACAGTTCCATAAATAAAACGGTCTCTTTGATGAACAGAACACAACATAACCTAACCAGACCTATTATCAGACCTATGTCCAGCCTTGACAACTTGTTCAGTACACACCAAGGCCAGGAGTTGCCTAAAATCTCCCCAAACTGCACCCGTCCACATCACAGCTGCCTATGTGCACCCTTTCCACACTTAGGGTTGCCCAGGACTCTGTCAAAATGCAGCAATAATCAAGCGACCTTGGAGAGCCTGGAAACTTCTCCTCCTTCGAGAGGAGATGCTTCCAAACCCCGAGCAGCAAGGGAAAGCACAAGGGATGCAGATGAACATACGGGAACGCGCTGCTATCTGCTGTGGTCAGCTGTGCACTAACCAAACTACAGGCAGGGAGTGCAGAACATTTGATTCTTTCTTTGCTTTTCAGAATTAAAGACTCTTTGGGATAAACAGGGGAAAGCTGACAGGTAGCACCCGGTCTGTACCAGTAGCCAACACTGTCAGAGCAGACAGCTGGGGTGCCCCAAGCTCCTCACCACCAACCAGACAGGCCATCAGGACTGGAATCACTTGCCATTAGCACCTGTATAGAGCAAACCAGCTCCTGAGCCTACCCCGACCTCTACACCCTGCCTTGAGGGCTGGAGCCTTCTAGCAACCACAGACCAGTGGTGGAGTCCAAGCGAGTCATGTCTCAGACCGAGAAACTGCTTGAAAAGCCAACACAGTATCAGTCTGGGATTCAGGAGCCAAATAAAGCTCATGATGATGGTATTTTAGGATGGTCATTTTATTCGTGGCTACTGCTGGATTCTGAAGCAGTCCTGGACCAGCCTTATCCCATTCTCTCCCAAGCCACACTGCTTTTTGGTACTTCCTTCGAGCCAGAAGCCTGCAGGCCATCTCCAGGCTTCCCATATAACAGTCACCACCAGAACCCCGGAGGAAGATTCCCCTCGGTGAGGAGAGGTGCTGGTAAATCAGAGCCTGACTCGTCGGCCTCTGGCTCTAACACAGCAAGCTGCGAGTTCCTCCCCATCATCTTACCCGTGGCTGCCTTATCCCTTAATTCAAGGGGAAAGGGCATCACCAGCCAAGTTATCATTAGGGTTGCTATAACACACAGCACACTCCACTTAGTTTTAGAATTTTCCAACATCTTTTCTTCATTTTCAATAGAAAATAGAAGCTCTGACCCTGTTAATTTTTGCTTCCATTGCATTCAGTAAATTCCAAGCGACTTYATCTATGTGTCACTGGTTAACATGATACCTGGAAACCAATATCAGACTTCAGGGCAAGGGGAGACTCCCGATCTCCAAGGTTTGTTCCTGCTTCCTAACAGCCCACACRCACAACAAGGCAAGTAAGGACAGTTCCAAACACTAATCCTGACAGGAGAGATAAGGAGGGAAAAGGGCCAATCCATACCCCAAACRACCCCAAAACAGCTGTCACCTTTGTGAAGGATATGGTCCGACAG